GATTGGGATCTACGGATCGGGGGAGTCCTGGCGGCATACAGGATGGCTCCGCACGCAGCGACCGGTTTCTCGCCATTTTTTTTGATGTATGGCCGCGAGGTTGACCCGCCTGTCGCGACTCAGCTGACGATTGCCGCGCCTCATGCTAAGTCGAAAATCGCCGACCATGTTAAATTTAACATCCTTCGCTTGGCGGAGGCACGGCAGGCGGCCATGCAAAACTCTGACTCTCGCCAGAAACAAAACGAGAGATTACGATCGCGCCGGACTCACACGCACGAATGGCACCCGGGCGACCGAGCATGGTTGCACTGCCCCCAGGTGCCATTGGCCACCTCGGCTAAGTTGTTGCGACCATGGAGGGGCCCCGTAGAAATTGTGCAGGTTGTGCGGCCTCAATGTGTGCGCATTAAGTGGGGGAAGCGTCGGTGGTTTGTGCACCCTTCACGGTTAAAGCCATTTTTTGCTCCGCACGCTTCCTCCCACGAAAATGGCCGAACATGTGGGGAGTCCGCTGACTCCGGGAGGGCGGGGTCGCCGTCAGCCTCTGATCCGCTAATGACTGTCCCGTCTTCAGGAGCCCCAGGACTGAAGCCCTCTTGGCTGCCAGCCTCCCCCGTGGGGGTCGGCGCTGGCACGTCCGGGAAGCCGGACGACCAGGCACCTGCAGATGCGACACCTGCCACCGACTCTACCAAGCCGGCCCCTTGTGACGGGCCCGCTGCACGGACTCGCGCCAAAACGCGCCGGTTGTTATGATTAGCTTTCCGCGCGTGTTCCGTTGCTGCGGAACCCGCTCATTGTATATATGTTTTTTGTTGGTTGTATGTGTGTGTAATAACGATGAACGCGCTATCTGCTTGTTGCTTGGTGTCAATATAAGTGTGTGCGTGTGTTGGGAATGGACGGAGAGTCTGCTGTGGTTGCTGAGTGTCAAATGGTGTGTGTGCGCTGCTGCGTGGAGTTGTTATCTTGATGGTGAAGTTAATTATTAACTTGGGAGCGTCGGGTATCCTGTGCTGTACCATCTCGTGGGTTACCGTGCGCGATGGGCTTAATTGAAAAAAGTTTTTTTTTTGGTGTATGGTGCTGCGAGGTGCTGTGTGCGATGCGGTCGTTGCATGAGAGAGAATAATTGTGTTGTTGCTGCAAAGTTACGACAGGATTAATGGTGTGTTGGTTGCCTGCAGATCTGCTTGCTATTGTGCTTAAATGTACGCGTGTGATCGCGATATGCTGATTGCATGTGCTGTTATACCGTTCTGTATATGTGTTGCGTTTTTGGGGAGGGGGTTTTTTTTTTTATAGGGAACCATCGGTTGATGTTACGCTTGTTCTTGTTATTGTTACTGTTACGAGGCACACGTGTATTTACTGTGTTAATCTTTATTCTTGGGGGTTGAGAGATTGTTGCAGCCGGGACGGCTGCGAGCTGTACAGGGGGGGGGGGTGATGTAGGGGTTATTACGGGAGAAACGGCGGACAACAAACACAGGGCTGTCGGCACTCACATACACGGGTGGTCACACCGACGTCCGCATCAGTTATTGCCCACGCCCCCAGCCCTCGGAGGCGATCCCTATAAAAGGTGGAGACCCAAAGAGCTCGAGTTCAGTTCGACACGAAGCTGACCAGTGAAGATCCAAGACTCGGAGATTAGGCCTTGGGACTCCCCGGTCTCGCCGTCCTTATAAGGGCCGAGCCGGGTAAGCCAGTGGCGCGGCCCAAGAGCTTCCAGACCGCTGCCCTTATCAGGGCAAGGCTGGTTAGCTGGTGCCGAGATCTGTGCTTGCCAGGGCCAGATCAGTCAGCCTCCCGTAGCCCAGTAGAGGAGGACTGGGGGACAGGACAGAGGGCTTAGTACTAGGGTGGGTTTCCCATAGTACGGGTGAAGGGGCCGATACCCCTTCAACTATTGTACCTGTCCCGGAGTTAATAAACAGAGTGTCCCAACTTCGACATCGTCTCCTCGAACTTACTACACTAGTAACGGAAGAACTCCACGACTCCAGGAAGTGGCCCCGAAGCTTGCCATAACGTAAGGAACCGTGGCCAATTACAGCCAACGTCAGTTTACCGTGGACAATTAGAGCCAAGCCGAAACATAACATACAAAAACTAATGTTTAAAAATATTTATTTTTATTTTTCATGATAGAATATAGTGTTGTCATCAGTGTGACATAAGTATACCAAGTTTGCAGTCGATACCACATTGGGAAGTGGGTTAAAATTTAGTTACAAGATTTGAGGATACAACGACAACAAATTGTGTACTGTGGGCAGCGGTGATATGAACCCGGCGACTCGAGTTCGATTCCCGCTCACCAACACCAACAGTGACAATTATCTGAACCGTCTTCTTGGTTCTTTCAGTAAAGTCACGTAGAAGGGAAATAATAAAATAATAAAAATAAAACATAATAAAATAATTCTCACGACGTTTCGGCCACAACGCAAGCAGCCGTCCTCAGGTGAAGAACAGGTCTGTCGAGAAGACAGACCTGTTCTTGTCGACAGACCTGTTCTTATTATTTCCCTTCTACGTGACTTTACCAAAAGAACCAAGAGGATGAATCCCTGCAGTCACGAAAGCTTTAAATCGAAATTTATCTGAACCGGTTCCTGGGCCTCCTCTCCTAGGTCGACTCGGCCTCAAATAAGTACCCGGTGTGTGGTTAACATCGCCAGTGGGGAGACAAAGGCGGCCGGGCGTGGTGCTGGCCACCCACCCCCTCGTGGGCCGTGGTGGCAGTAGGCAGGGGGCCTTGCCTCCACTTCTGGTGGCCAAAGCTACGAGTTCGGGGCCCTTTTGACAACCACCGTGGATGTTTTCAACAAGAACGTATTTAAAAATTAACCCGTAAAAACAAAGTTTTTCACTATAAATCCTTTATATGCGTGACGGCTAGAGTCCTCTCGTCCTCTGGCTTGAGATGGCTGCCACCTATGGGTCAGATGATTGCCTGGTACCATTAAGCAATTGGTAATTAAATATAAAAAAAAAATTCCTAAACAGTGTAAAATTTTGGAAAAAAAATTTCACGAAAATAAATTGTCACGCACAACGAGTCTGTGTACAAAATGTCAGCTCGATTGGATCACGGGAAGTGGGTTAAAAAACGACCGAAAGATTTGCACGGTCGTAAGCAAGCAAGCAAGTGAACTTAATATAAAAGATTTAAAACGCGGTTTAAATGTATTTGTTTATTAAAATGCTGAGTGACGTGATAAGAGGAGCCGCGTTAAATAGCCGTAGGCGTGACCGTGCGAGACAAATCAAATATATTGGGCCCCCCACCTAATCGATTGTGTCGGCCTTCACACAGGTGCATAGGGCCGTCCATAAATGACGTCACGCGATTTTGGACGATTTTTGACCGCCCCCCCCCTCGTCACACGGCGTCACAAAAAGTCAGACCCCCTCAACTATGACGTCACAAAGCTCTGCACCCCCCCCCAAAAAATATAAAAAACATGCTTCAAATCGCTTGAAACTATTGTCATTGTAGTGCGTATTTAATGTGGCGCTGCACTCTGATGTTGTAGGAGAAAACATTTATTAAAAAGTCTATTTAATTAAGTGGAACGTGTTGTCTATATTTATTTAAAGTTGCGCATTTTGATGTGACGTCACATTTCTCACCCCTTCCCCCTCGTCACACATAGTCACAAATGTCTGACCCCCCCCCCCTAGGTGCGTGACGTCATTTATGGACGGCCCCATAACTGTCAACCCCGTATCAGTGCCCTACCTTATGACAGACCAATTAAGACCTTACTGGTCACCCCGTGCCCAATCTCAACGTTCATCTTACAAAGTCTCAACACAAACAAATAGAACATTTTATGCCCGTACTGAAACGGATGTACGCCGTATGGACCTGATAACTCAATTTCCCTGTACAAGAACACGGGGTAAACCGTGTGGGTTGACAGGTTTGCAGGTGCTACGTATTCGCTAACAGCACTTGCCCCAACAAGTGTGTTAGAGGCTATACGGGGGACCTTTGTCTTTGTACATCCGTCGTTGTGGCCATCTTGCTCAGGGATTCTGTTCATGAGCAGGGCTCAATGGGGCCTCCGCGTCGCGTTGTGGTGACGTAGGCCCCCTGTTGCGTCTCATGCAACAGGGTAGATGGGGGGGGGGGGGTTGGTGGATGGGGGGGTTGGTGGTGGGTGGGGGGGTCAGTGGTTGGTGGGTGGTGGTCGGTGGTAGGTGGGTGGGGGGGTTGGTGGGTGGGGGGGGGTTGGTGGTGGGTGGGGGGGGTTGGTGGTGGGTGGGGGTGTTGGTAGTGGGTGGTGGGGGGGGGGGGTTGGTGGTGGTGGGGGGGTTGGTGGTGGTGGGGGGGTTGGTGGTGGTGGGGGGGGTGGTGGGGGTGGTTGGGTAGGGAGTAGGTGGGTGAGTGGGGGGTTGGTGGGGGGTGGGTTGGTGGTAGGGGGGGTTGGTGGTGGTAGGGGGGGTTGGTGGTGGGTGGGGGGGTTGGTGGTGGGTGGGGGGTAGGTGGATGGGGGGGTTGGTGGGGGTGGTTGGGTAGGGAGTAGGTGGGTGAGTGGGGGGTTGGTGGGGGGTGGGTTGGTGGTGGGTGGGGGGGGTTGGTGGTAGGGGGGGTTGGTGGTGGGTGGGGGGGTTGGTGGTGGGTGGGGGGGGGTCGGTGGTTGGTGGGTGGTGGTCGGTGGTAGGTGGGTGGGGGGGTTGGTGGTGGGTGGTGGGGGGGTTGGTGGTGGGTGGTGGGGGGGTTGGTGGTGGGTGGTGGGGGGGTTGGTGGTGGGTGGTGGGGGGTTGGTGGTGGTGGTGGGGGGTGGTGGTGGGTGGGGGGGGGTTGGTGGTGGGTGGGGGGGGGGTTGGTGGTGGGTGGGGGTGTTGGTAGTGGGTGGTGGGGGGGGGGGTTGGTGGTGGTGGGGGGGGTTGGTGGTGGTGGGGGGGGTTGGTGGTGGTGGGGGGGGTGGTGGTGGTGGGGGGGGTGGTGGAAGCTTCCCTTGGTAAGATGGCGACGGGGACCCCCCCCCCCCCGTGAGACCGCCGCCTTCGTGGTCGTCTCCTCCCCGCGGCTTCTCCGCCGATTCACCAGCGCAGCCCGGGGCCATGGCCGCTGACAGCGAGGTAGATACACACGCGTTCAAACACCAGTCCGTCGACTAACACACATCGTTGACAACAACCACAACAACAACATAATTTGTTGTAGCTAATGTCTAAGCTGCTTGTTGTGATTTGGCCTGCTAATGTGTGGATGTCCTGCTGTCACATTATTTCACGTCAGCTTAATGGATAAGGCTTTTGGCACGGGTATCGTTGGCGTGCCGATGGAAGTATAATGTAAACATGTTTCCGACACGTGTGACATGGTACTTGTAGTTGCTACTGCGTTGTTTTGTTTTATACGACAGCGCTATTTATTACGCTACATACGTTACCCTTACAATCATATTGTTTGTGCTGTTATCCACGGCGGATGGATGTCCTACGGAGGCACTGTCCTCCACCATGAGAATGTAATTCCACTGGCGCAAAGGCCACACGAATGGAGATGTGTACCGACCGACCAGTTGTCACGCCAGAATGTGCACAGTTTCACTGTCGGATTTTTGTCTGCGGTTAAGAGTTTTCAGCAGACGAGCTCATTTCAGCCCAGGGTAAACATGCGAATTGTTTCATGTTGTCAAGGCAAGCTCTTTAGAGAAATGAATACCTGTATTACATGTGTGTTCTTGGTGTGTGAGGATGCATGACACACACGTACACCAGCCCAAGTCTCCTTCTCACTGGTACTCGTTAGCAGTTTCCCACTGCCGGCTCACGGCTTCCACATCAAATTGATTTGTGACGCTAACATATACATAACGCATTAACATGAAATGTACATGGACAGTAATAACCAACTAACAATTATATATATGTAGATCTTCTTTCGCACCGTACTTAGTCAACTGTGCTAATCAGTGAAGTATGGCAGCTTTTGTTATTTTATGACCTCAGTATACATCAAATTGATATTCAACCCGAGGGTTCTTCGTGTTATCTTATTTGACTTTGAGTCTCAGGTATTCACACGAAATCGTAATGTTTCCTATGGATCTTTCAACAGTTAAACTGTTGTAGTTATCATTGTATCTTAATAATGCTTAGATTGTCTTAGACTGCCTGTATGACTCGGACATATTGACATCCGAAATGTTTAACCGTGCACTTAGGAATTTGAGCATCTGGTATTCGCACTCGACTGACAGAGTTCAGTGTGGTCAAGAGGAGGCAAATGTGTGCACAGATGGCCCCTACCTTGTAATAACAACATGTTCAATCCTGTTCTGATCCTCACTTAAACTATGATTTTTTTAAACGGTTGTCAACTTCATCCACTGTCACTATCAAAGTTGTTTAGTTTGAAAACGTTTGCACTATATTTCGATGACACTACTTAATGTGCACATTTATTTCTGTTGTTTGTCATGCTACAGCCTGAGTCGGAGGTGTTTGAGATCACAGACTTCACCACTGCATCAGAATGGGAAAGGTACGGTGCAGTGTTTGGATTGTGTTTGTCTTGTCATTGTTGGCGGTGGAGGGCATTGCGCTACAGACCCTGCCATACAAGTTCCATTCCTGACCACGGCTAAAATCATTAGCGAGTGATGACATCTGAACTGATGTCGCGGGGCCCCCTTTCACTAATCCACACGAAGTAGCATGGTGAAGTATGGTCAACTACACGTATGACCAACACAGTGTTGGGCCGCTATCGTTCCAGCAGCTTGTTACCTGGTAAAAGGAAACCAGTTTAGTTTTAGCGTTGACGAAAGGCTGTGGATTGGCATATTATGGTTCTCGCTGTTGGAAATGTATTTATACTGCTGGTGTATTTACTTTAGTAATAATGTGAACCGATATTGTCAATTTCTAGTCTACTTACCGTATGAGAATGTATATATAATGTGTAATCATAAATTGATTGGTCTGTTAGCAACGTATACAGTCGAGCATCTCTTTGGAAGAAACATCTGGGAATAGATATACAATATTACAACACTGAATTAAATCACATATTGAGATTGTGAAGAGACTAAGCATTCCTGTTAAGATTAATAATTCAGCAAACTAGTGTGGTTCACTGGAACTTTTTTTTAAAGGGTTATTCATTTAATTAGATATATCATAGGTACACATGGAGCTAATTATAGGGAATTTAAACTATTTAAATTGGCTTGCCATTTTTATAACAGACTAGCTTTACTACCCGGCTTCGCCCGAGACTTGGATTCTTGTCTTGGATTAATACACGGCCTACGTGGAGGGTTGGAGGGGGGGATGCATGACGTCAGCAGGCACACTGCATTGTGTACAGTCTGGAAGGTACCCACATGCCAAATTTCAAGTTTGTTGCATGTTGGGAAGTATGCTGAACATTTCGAACAGACACACATTCACAAATTTCCCTTTTATATATATTGAAATACTGAATTTATCTCCACTCATAGGTGGATGGATGCATTTATACGGATTGAACGTTGTCTTGTCATGAATGACCACACAATAACTGCTGTAATATAAAAAAAAATGTCCTTTGTATATCTACTGCTGGATGAAAGTTTTCCCAAACCTTGTTGACCATGCTTCACCACACTGTTGAGCTCAGGTTGGTGAAGAGAGGGTGGGTAGGCTGGTTTAGATTACAATCACCATGTGGTGCTAACCACTGCTCCATCACTCTATCCCAGTATCATCAATTCATTTACATTTTTACATTTAAGATTCCCAAAGCTTTCTCGAGGAGCTTTTTTTTTTTGCTGAGACACGGACGAGTCTAATTTGTCTGCACAGCTCAATAGCTGAAGCTGGAGGTTGTAATCTTGTAAACCTTTCGACTGATGTCCTTTGTAGACAAGTGAATGTGTTGCCACTGCATCTTCCTTCATGAGCTTTCAAAATTAATGAAAAATACATTTTATTTTTGAATGCTAATGAACATAGTAGAGGATGTCTCCCCTGTCAAAGGGACAGCACTCATGTCCATTTGCAGGCCTGCGCTGAGGCTCTTCACAAGATGACCACTGTTGGCTTCTCCCAAATTGGTACTTCTGACGAGGATGTGACCTCTTAACCTTCCCAAATGGTGAATTCGCACTTTAACCACAGTGCCATCTGATTGGATAAATGCTGATTGCACGAGCGATGTATATTTATTCTTGAATATATGAAATGTAATTGTTCCTTTACTCCGGATGTGTTTGTATTATGCAGGTTTATCTCCCGCGTGGAGGAGGTCATGAACGACTGGAAGCTGATTGGACCATCACCGTCTCTGCCGGTTCGCAAAGTAAATACCTTGTATGATATGCTTATACATCAGGCAGCATTTAAATATTTTTCTTAATCACATATTTAAATCATAATCATCATTTTAAGTCATCCACTGCTGGATGAAGGCCTCCCCATGTCGTCACCGTCTCTCTTTGTCCCGCGATGCCACAATCCATCGCACTCCCGTGCATGAGCTGATCTCATCACTCCAGCTCTGTGGTGGTCATCGTCTCACCTGTGTTCTCTTCTTTGGTTGCAATTCCGTCTCTATTCTCGTCCATCGGCCATCATCCTTGTAGCGATGTATTCTGTCCAAGTTTATGTACTTTTCATAACAGTCAAGATCTCTCCAAATTTCTCTTTTGTTCTCTGTCCCATACGTTCCATCCGCATCTCGGTGAAGCTGCATTGGTTCATACTTTAATAATCTTTATGCCTTTATTCTTCCGATCCGATACTTTATATCAAATGAGCAATGCTCATCTTTCTCTAATGGCAGTCCTCAGCCAATGGTGGATAATATATTACTAGGCAATTGCTGTTGATTTGCCACAAAGTAGCATGCACATCTTTCATTGATTGTAAAAATAGTTCAGACGTGATAATTGTTTTTTTACCCTTCCATCTGGCAACAAAACTGACACCTAAATAAGTATAACCCGTAAAAACAAAGTTTTTCACTATAAATCCTTTATATGCGTGGCAGCGAACTTAATATAAAGGATTTAAAAATATATTCGCCTGTGGAGGACGCGGGGATCGATCCTGCGACCTTTGGCATGGGAAGCGAGGGCGCTACCAACTGCGCTACTCCGCCACGGCCTGTGGAGGGGTTACGCTCTGGGCTCTTATACTGTGACGTTCAACCAAAGCCAAGAATGAGTTCTATTTGAATATATGTAAAATAAATTTTTTTTGCCTAAAAAGTGTAAAATTTTGGGAATTTTTTTTCACGAACATTAATTGTCTGGCACAACGAGTCTGTGTGGAAAATGTCAGCTCGATTGGATCACGGGAAGTGGGTTAAAAAACGACCGAAAGATTTGCACGGTCGTAAGCAAGCAAGCACGCAAGCACGCAAGCACGCAAGCAAGCAAGCATGCGAACTTAATATAAAGGATTTAAAAGGTGTCAGTTTTGTTGCCAGATGGAAGGGTAAAAAAACAATTATCATATTTTTTACTGGCAAATGAGGTTGCAATGGTGTAGTTCAGACAATTTTAGCGAGGAAATGCTAAGCATTGATGACACTACATTGAGTAGAATTTGACTTAAGGCATCAGACAATAGACCCATTGTTTCACCAGATTCAAGTGTTCTATAGTTGACACTGACCTCTACGGTTGTTTAAGCTACCTCTTTCCATAAAATCCCATTGTTTAAAGTCTTGGCTTCGGCAGGACTTGACAATACAATGTTGTTGTGGTGTACAGTATTTTGCAACCTGTGACCTTTTAGAAGTGTCCATTTATCAAGGATTTGTCATTATTTGATGTTAAAAGTGACATTATTTGCAAATGTAGGGCATTGTGTGCTTTGTGTTGTAGCTCAAATTGACAAGTTAGAAAATGACCTGCAACTATATGTATTTAAAAAAATATATATTAAAGAAACTCACGTCTACCTTACCAAAGAGAGAATGCTGTTACAGAACTAGAGGAGACCCCTTTAGCGGAATACGTGAATAATTGTTATTTCGTTCTTAATAAGAATTATCACGTCATTTATAGTTACTGGGCCTATCGTACCTCCATCAGTAAACTCAGTGAAACGTGAAATTTGTGATTTCCACAAGGGGGAGTACACGACGGGCACGTGGGAGGAGGAGACGGAGGAGGTGATGTTCGCGAACTTCCGCTTCTCGGTGATCCACCACTACCTGAAGCAGGAAAGCAGTCGACGGCAAGGAGGGCAGGGGCGAGGCTGCCGAGGATGATGGTACAACGTGCCCTGGTGTTAGAGCGCCTCTTTACACACTTAGATCGTGGTCAAAAGGGTCAAGAGTTCAATCGTGGGAAATGCTGTTGATGCTGCCATACCTTGAATCATCGGGAGTATGAATTAGTGAATTAGTACAGGATGGGTATGTGTTTCTAGTGCATTGTGCACACATATCCAGCTGGGTGATGTTGTTGGCAAGATGTTTGACACATTTGTAATGAGTTCAAATTCCCGTTGTGCTTCTGGTGTTGATAAACTTAGAGAAAAATTGCAACATGCCAGTGGTCAGAAGCCTTATGAATAGATTGCCACCAGACGTAGGATTATAGAGTTATCACCACTGGCTCTTGACTGATAAAGGAACGGAGTACAGCCTCACCCTAGGTAGAGCAAGATACCCGTTTAAATGATGCAATTACCCTGCACTGCAAAAATTAAAAACTTGGTATCAACCACTGCCTTTCCGCATGGTTACCATTTCAAGTTTGTAAAAGTGAAATGTTAACCACCTTACCACTCCCAGATATATATATATATATATTGCTGATAGCGATTAGTTTCACTGTAGATTAAGCTCTTTTGTCAGAAATTTTAAGTTCCGTAAATTAAAAAAACCTTGTGTTGTGCAAATTGTGGCAGATGCTCTTCCCGAAGCCATGCAGGACCTGGTGTCCATGGACAATGACTTTTCTCCCAGAGCTCACTGCCTCGTGCGCTGGTAAGGCCTCGAGCACAGCTTACACATGCAAGCCCATGTCACTTGACTTCTGCTGCATACAATGCATTGCAGTGCAATTTGGATTCGTATTGTGTCGAAATACAAACAATACAAACTCATGATGTATCTTCCCTTATTCTCTCCTGCTGCTATTGCTTGAGTGCGCAAATAACTTTTATGTATTTCCGATTCAATTCCTTTCACTTTAGTCTACACTGAACACCATTTCCTCTATCTTTGTTTTGTTAAAATTGTCTTTAAACTGCTGAGCATTTTTTCTTTGAGCCAAGTTCTCAATATTTTTGACTCCTTGCGCTAACACAGGCATTCGTCCCATTATCTACCCAGCCCTTACGTCTGCCTGGTTACCATTGCTTCACACGTGTGTCTGTGTGTGTTTACCATTTTCCGCAGGAATGGCCTGAGAAATTTTGTCATCATTGCTCCCTCGGCTGCCTCTGAAGCTGTGATCACAGAATCCAAGTGCAATCTGCTCCTGAGCTCTGTGAGCATCGCTTTGGGCAACACGGGCTGGTAGGTGGTCCAGCGTGAAGATACTTAGGGCCACCTGGCATTTTATGAACATTATTACCAGCAGCAACATTAACAACATTACTGTTACCATTCGGGGCATCGTTATTCACACATTGTTGTTAGCAGTAACAGTAACAATCTTCAATATCAACTTAATCATCAACATAATTAGTTCCTTTAGCATCACGTCTAGTAACATAATCATCATCACGCCACCAGTAGCATCACTATGAGCTTAACCAGTTGTAGCAGAATCTTTAACATAATCAATAACAAAAGCGACAACAACAGCAGCAGCAGCAGGAACATCAATTCCAAACAATAGTGATTGCTTCCTGTGATATTCGTAGTTTTTTTGTTACTATTTATTGATTTTGATTATGTATGTGCCAAGCTGTGTGCACTCGTCGCTAAACATTCTTGTCTCTGTATATGCGTGTGTGCGTGTGTTGCATCCACAACTTGTGTTGCATCCATTTGGGAAGCGGTAATACAATGGTTAGGGCACTGTGCTACGAACCCGGCAACCCATCTTTGATTCGACCAATAACAGTAAAATATATCTAAACTGGTCCTGGACTTCCGCTAGGTTGACTCAACCTTAAATTAGTACCTAGTTTGCTGTGTAAACATCAGCACTTGGGAGACAAAGGCTGTCGGGCGTGGTGTTGACCAGCCACCCCCTCGTGTGCCGTGCCGCCGTTCATGGACGCTCGCTAACAGCACTTGTCCCAACAGTCTGTTAAAGGCTATAAGGGGGATCTTTGTTTTTGTTGCAGTCAGGTGCCAGTATTCGTGCAGATCCAGCAGAAGTGGCGCCGCATGTTCTCTGGCCTGTGCGAGGGTCCCGGCGTACGTACGGACTTCGAAATGGTTCACCTGCGCAAGGCGCCCAATCACTACAACCACTTGTCGGGCCTGCTGGACGTCTTCAAGTCTAAAATTGTAAGTCTGTAATTCTAGATTTGAAGCTTTCGTGACTGCAAGGATTCATATTCTAAGGTTTTCGGTAAAGTCACGTAGGTAAACAATGTAAATTAATAAAATAGAAATAAAATAAAAATAAAAATCACGACGTTTCGGAGGCAACACAAGCTTCCGTCTTCAGGTGGAACCGTCACAGCACGATAGCTGTATCAAGTACTTACTTGATACAGCTATCGTGCTGTGACTTGATACGGCTATCGTGCTGTGACGGTTCCACCTGAAGACGGAAGCTTGTATTGCCTCCGAAACGTCATGATTTTTATTTTATTTTACTTTTATTAATTTTAATTGTAAGTCTGTGACAAATCTGACACACTGTGGTGGTAAGCGATGCTATGATTTGCTGAATTTGGCTGTTCAATTTTTTTTCTTGGCCAAGTTCATTGTTTAACATCTATTATTTTTACATGTGCACTAAGCTTCATGTTGGTTGTGTCTGTTTGCAGGCCTGCCCATTGTCCCACATACCTCCTGTGAGTGTCAGCATTCGCTTCACCTATGTGCTGCAGGACTGCCAGCAGTACTCGTGGCCCCAGCCACCTCCAGGTATGCTCTTCTAACCCCATTACATCATTACTATCATCATCATTGTCACCAACTGTCTCGTCATGGTTATGGGATGGCCAGATGGCCGAGCTGTGAACACTACTGAGCCATCATGGGACCTCCTGAGCCACTATACTCTTGAGTTGTGGGTTCAATTGCCTTAGTTCCTCCTCATGTTTTTGAACCGAAGGACACATTTACATTTTTGTATCGTTTGATGTTTTTTTTTAGTAGAACCAATAGAATATGACTTTCTCCCAATATGTGCTTTAGGCTGCATTTGTCATGGTATTTTGGTTAATATATGACTTGAAGGTTGTTATTGAAATGTGCTGTGCAAATGAGATATTATATTAACTTACAGAGCTAAGGTTTTTTAGGAGTGATCATAACGATCACGACTATACATAGTGACTCACTGTGAATTGGTTCTACCGTTTCATTGTAAAGTTTAAGTATTATTTTAACGTGGCATTTTATGCAATTATACATGCCACATTTTCGGTAGCGCTGTGGCAAAGTGATGGAGTCAAAATTATAAGTTTGCGATCTCCAGCCTTAGACGTCATCTCGGCCCATAATCTCTCTGTGGTTGATAAAACGAGTACCATTTAGTGGAAAAATAACAGTGGTCATCCTGTGGGGAGAATGGCTTCTACCTTGATAATTATGAAACTCAACACATTCATCAATAACACATTCCTGCGGAGGGAGCTGGTAGGAACGTTGGGTTGCTCAGTCATTGGCCAGGGTCAACGGCGGCGTGGTGTATTCCGCAAATATGGCCGACTGTGAGGGCGGGCACAAGCCGGCGTGAGTAGGTTAAACGTTGAGTTTTATAAGGGCACCACGGGGTGACCAGCCCTTCCCCACCCAGCCCCACCCAGCCCCACCCAGCCCCACCCCCCACCCAGCCCCACCATCCGCACCCAGCCCCTCCCCACCCTCCCCTCCCCACCCAGCGCCTCCCCACCCTCCCCTCTCCACCCAGCCCCACCCCTCCCATTTTTGGATGCATGATGGACGTACACAATAATCCCCTGTGGGCTGGTGGAACCAGGTGGTTTCTACCAGTAACACTGTCTTTAAAAGAAAAATCTATAATTGACGACATTTCAAGCAATGGCCCTTCTGCGCAGCACATAGAGAGGCCAGAGGTCGGGTGGTTAAGAGTTTTATCAAGAACTTTACATTCCACGAGGCCTCATGAGAGCTATAATTTTTTTAAACGTTTCCTGATTTATATTTTTTACATAATTCATGCAGTAATGCATTCCTCGTTCCAACTTATTATTTCAATATAATTAACTATTAGCATAATCCACTTGATGACGATATGTTTATTTGTTGTGTCCTATATGCTTGTGCACAACTCTCAACACAATATCACGATTATCAGGAATTTCCCCTGCTGGTTCATGGCAGCTAAAGGAATTGAATGCCACCCCAGAGTTTATTTGATCAGCAAAACATTCATTATTTTAAGCTAGAGCCTAATGATGTTTACGTTGAAGCTCATTCTCTGAACACTGTGAACTGTATGGTGCTGCGGATTTGCTTGTCGCAGACTTTGATGCCCTGGTCGGTGGCGAGGTTGGTGCTCTTGAACTCGGCAAGTTGCCCTTCGGCGCGTGTGAAGACCCTGTGAGGTGAGTGGCAATGCATATACGATGAGCTGCCTTTTGAGTGCCCTTTGTTGAAAGTAATGTGGGGAATTCGGAACAGACCATGAAATGAGAGCCGTTGTGTTGGTTATCCTGTGGAGAAGACTGACTTCGAACAAGAGAATGTGGAATGTTTAACCTTTGCAACGGGTTACCAATGGATACAAGTATAGCACCATCATCGGTTAAGCAGATACACTTTGATGGTGGTGATCTACTTAATGAAACATCAACATGTTCAGTATTTTTTGTAAATTCGTTTAGTGTTTTTATTGTGCAAATTCATTGTTGACCAAATCCACTCTGCTTGAGGACCTAGTTTAACCATAATTAAACTGCCCAACAGTCAAATCCAGGTTCTTGGCAGTTCCACCATATAACGCTTGTTTACCTAGGATAGCTTCACTCAAAACTCTTTTTCAGATTCCTAACAAGTCTTGGCAGGGGGGGGTGGGGGACGATGTTGCTATGTGTAATCTAAATTGAGTGGTTGTCAGGTCCATTTTCAGCATTGGGATGTTTTTGACCAATACCAGTTACAGTGTGTTCTTTTTCATGGTGGTAACGATTGATGACTGGTCATGTTAATGATTATTAATAATGATGACAAAGATGACAATTACGACAATGATGAAGATCATGTTGATGATGATGACTTCTGGTCCACACAGTACTGGGCAGCACTACGATGATGCATCGTGGAGAAGTTTACTGGCACAGCATCAGCAAGATTTGGTCTGGACTGTAATAATCAGTGTTTAGATAATGGCATTACTCCCCCCCCACCCCGAGTTATCATCCCACCCCATGTATAATAAACGAAGTGCAGATGTGTCATATTGATCCTGTGGTCTTCTTTTGGCAGTGAACTGCACCTCGCCGCCACTTGGCCACATCTAACAGAAGACATTATCGTGGATAATGACGTTTACTCGTAAGTAGAGCGTGCACGCATTGGATAGTCTTGTAAATATCAGGTGAGTATTTACGTGTTGCCAAGTGGTGCTGTGGCAAGGGACGGGGCTTTGGTCAATGAGAAGATAGTCAATTAAAATCCCTGTCATTGTTCAACGTAGTTCGCAATCCATTTGTATGAGAAGTCAAGTGATTCGTTTATAAATCAACTGTCTTCTGTCATGGGAATGTGGAATTGGGACTGCTGAATTAGAGCTGCGAATGGAGATGAATGTTCCCCAATGTTTTTTTGGAGAGGGATGCGCTTAATTATTTATGCGAATTAAATGTTTCTACATCATTGGTTAATTTATCAAAGTCTGCAGGTGGTGTCAGCATAAATATATTTATTTTTATGTCTGTAAAATATTCTGAAACCTGGTGTTATAGAGCCAAGTCTCATGCCACAAATTACTAAGAAGTGCCTGCCTGTTCTCAGAGCTTAGCACTACTTCTAGATTTGAAGCTTTCGTGACTGCAAGGATTCATACTCTTTGTTTTTTTTCGGTAAAGTCACGTAGATAAAAAATAAAATAGATGAAAACAACTAAATTAAATCACGACGTTTCGGGCGCACCACAAGCGTCCTTCAGGTGGGGACAATGTAGCGATAGCACAACCGCCGCCTGCATCACAAAGCTTCAGTTTGAACTCCATGCATTGCCTCCCAGCGCCCCCCCCCCCCCCCGCCATGCCTCACAACGTTGCCTCCCAGTCCACAGCCCGCCCACACACTCACCATGGCCCCTCCCCTCCCTCCATCCCCCGCGACTATATAATTCATCGTCACAGCCACCTCTTAGACACACTTAAGCGGTTGTGCTTTCGCTACATTGTCCCCACCTCAAGAAGGGCGCTTGTGTTGCGCCCGAAACGTCGTGATTTAATTGAGTTGTTTTCACTTAGCACTACTACTACTACTACAATTGACAGTGACATTTTTGTCTCTGTGTCCTTGCTGTCCAGTGATCTCGACCCAGTTCAAGCCCCTCAGTGGTCCGTGCGAGTGAGAATGGCTGATAACCCACAGTGCCTTCTGGGTAAGTTGGTACTTGTCAGTTTACCCAAAGTGCCCACTGTTGTTGTCATTGTTGTCGTTATCAGCCTCTGACTTCGTACTGCTGGGCAAAGGCTCCCGCGTTTTCTATCATTCCTTTGCTTAGTTCTTGTCTGTCCCTTGACTCCTTTTTGCTTATTTTTCCTTCTCTCAGTCTCCACTCCAAAGGTGATTTTGTCTTACCATCTCTCGTCAATTGTTTTCTTGACGTGTCCTGCCCATTTCCACTTGATTTCTTTTGCTTTAACAAAAGCATCGGTGATCGGTTTTTTCTTCCTATTATTTTTTTTATCCGAGCTCTTCAACTCCAAAAATCTTTCATTCCAAAGATGTTTGGCAAACGTGTAGCATGGTTACTTGTGTACAGTGGTTACTGGGTAAGTTGATATATGCCAGTTTGCATTCATTTCCTTTTTAGTAATTCTGAACATGGCCATTTGTCCACATTGCCTTTTAGTAAGTTAGTCCATGGCTATTTTCCCATAGTGATTTATTTTTGCCAACATATGAGGCTTGACCTATCATTTCTCTTAATTTAAAAATATATTTTTATTTCATTGCTTAACAAGAACATAATTTTGTCAAAGTGACACTTTCCACGTTTGCATAATTTTCTCTGCAGAAGGCTAAAACATCCAAGAGTCTATGTAACCATGTTGCCATGAAATGTGAAGAAAAAAGGAAACTTCAGGACGTAAAAATGTCAGGTTTATCGTTTTTTCAGCTGGCTTATGGTTATAAACTGGAGAAGATCACTTCCCTAAAGCTACACGTTTTATAGCGTTTGTGGCATATATGTTGGGCTCATCAAAACATGACGATTTAACCAAAGTGTCTTCTACACAAGTTACACCAACTTACTGTTAATTACAAACAGGCTGTGTGTCCTTGTGTTGTCATCCTTTTAATGGAGCCTCTCAACTTTGCACTGGGTATTTGTTCATGCGATGTGGGCTGTTAGTCAAAAGCGCAGAGTTCATTCATAGAGGCTCCTTGTATTTTCTGATGCAGGGGACTTCCTGTACGAGTTCCACTCATTGTGCCATCGCAAAGAATCCACCGACGAGCTGCTGGGAAAGGCGGTCTTCGACGATGAAGCCAAAGGTATTTGTTGAAACTGATGCGCCATGTAACATTGACAGTGCAACTACAGGGAGTCCTCTGCTTACGATGGAGATGCGTTACGACGACCCCATCGTAAGTCAAAAATATCGTAAGTCGAAGATGGCCTAGCCTACCCAGGAGTCTTAAATAATGGTGATAATTTAGCAAAACAGAGCAATTTACAGTACCGTACTGTATAAACGATCTACTGTATGTATTAATTACAATACTGTATTGCACAGTAAAATATAAAGTAAAAAAACAAGGTAAATTCTTAGCCTATTTTTATGAATCGCAATTTAATAGAAAGTTTTTTCAGGAAACAATTCTATCTGCTATTAAAATAACGTTTAACATGCATTGAACGTATCGTATCGTGGTAACCCTAAAATGAAATCGCTAAAGCTACGTATCATACATGCATTGAACGTATCGTTCGCTGCTGCGATTGCCTGCCGCGCAAAATTTAAAATATTTAACAATTTTGTCGTATCGCTATCGCCATCGTAAGATCGAAATATCGTAAGTCAGACCATCGTAACTCGGGGACTATCTGTATTTGTGAGTGTGGTTTGAATTTTTCAGCTGCCATGCACGTTATGATCAAGACCAACATGGCCACAGTTAAAGGAAATGCAACCCAAACAGTGCACTATTATTTTTCTCAATTAGCCAAAGGGAATTTATTTTGCAGGAGTGCATTAGTTTAAATGAATTTACATAAAAATACAACAATTTTTGTTACCTCTGAAAGCACAAATTTGGATTGAGCATGATGTGCTACCCATTCAGGTTCCTTTATGTGAGAAAAACCATTAGAGATGTTTAGTTTCCCAGGTAAGGCCCACTGAGCTAAATAGCTTTTTCAGAAACGATCTGGCCGGGAATGATAGCTCAACAAATTGGTTTATCGCGTGGAAATGTTTCGCAGCCAAATACTTTCGATGCATGTTTCTAAACGTGGGGGGAAAAACCGCAAGACCTGTAGAGAAACATCCACGCGACCATGGGTTGCAATATTGGATGTTATGTGGATAGACTCGCCCTTAGACTCGCCGTTGCCAGAGAAGTTTTCACAACTGGCTCAGGGCTGTACACCAGGGATAGTGCCATCCCAATTTAGTCTGAGTTGGAAAGCACTTAAAAATAACGTATTTTTTTATCATCAATGTATTTCACTTGGAAAATCCCTTGAAATGGAAAATCTCATTTACCAGGGTGTCCACAATATATAAACACTTGTATAAATTACACCTCAACAACTACTGACCTGGTTGTTACAGCGTTAACAGTGTATTTGTATTCATGTGCATGAACACATGAATGCACCAGCACGCTCACAATAATGAATGTAATGCTAGTTCAGGTAAGGTTGATAAAGATGTAGCAGTGCACGTGAAGATTACCAAGGATGATGATTTGATAGGGATTTTGGTGTTATTGCATTGTTCAGTTTGTTCCCTTAGCAGTAGGGGTTTAATGATTCACCCCTGTCATGATGAAGAGTCATGATTTGATTGAAGAATCGATTCTTTTTTAACAGTGCGGTAAATGTAGCGACCTCTTTTGTCAGCTACAGGGGTCACGTGGACCCATGACATACAACTTATCAAATAGAAAAGCTACGACTCTTCCACCCACGATTAATTATATGAGTGTGAATCAACGTATCATTGCACCCCTATTTTGCAACCATACGTATGGCTAGTTGTGCTACAGATGTTACAGATAATCACAATTACCATATTCATATTGTGAGCAACAGTTGTGTTGACTTTAGAGTAAAAAAATGACAAAAAACAAACAAAGCACTTTTGACCCACGTGCTATTTTCTATTTATCTTTTACTTTTCTTAAGTGTTTAAAATGAAAACCAATTCTCCATCCGCATTTTGAGGCAGCGTTCATTGGAGATTAAAAAAAAAACTTCAGCATAAAATATATTTTTTATTTAAAGCTTTCGTGACTGCAGGGATTCATATTCTTGGTTCTTTCGGTAAAGTCACGTAGAAGGGAAATAATAAAATTATTAAACAATAAAATTCTCACGACGTTTCGACTGCAAAACAAGCAATCGTCATCAGGTGAAAAGAACGCCACTTTTTTCAAATTTTCTTGCCGTATTTTTCACACCTGATGATGATTGCTGTGTTGCAGTCGAAACGTCGTGAGAATTTTATTGTTTTATATTTTTATTATTTTATTGTTTCCTTTCTACGTTACATTACCAAAAGATCCAAGAATACATACATATATATTAGGATAATAAATTTAAACATGTTGCCAAATCTCCACCTAGGAATTGTTGAGTTATGTTTTCAAATTAACAGGGACGTAGAGAAAAATGCAATCGAGGCTTGCATTTGGCAAGTGCAGGTAACTGTGACACCGTTGACTTTCTAATACCCAGGGGTGCAACAACACGATGTAGAGTCAAAAGTGGCAGCTCTGTGCTAAACATTTAGCAACGCTCATCTCCATTGGCAGACCTGAGCCAGAGATGGAACTTCCAAATTCCCATGCCTTTGGCCAGTTTTATCCATATCACAATCTTTTTTTGTACTGGAGAAATCCGATGACCTATGTAGCTCAGATGTCCAGCAGGATGGTCACTTGACTTCCAATAAAGTAGTACCGAATTTAACGACCCCAGGGTGATAATGGACTGAGTTGGCCGCTTCTAGAATTTCAGCTCGGAACTAAACCATGTTGACGGTGAGCCAAATACTCTTCTATAGTGCCAACCTGCCAGGTTGTGTATTTACCGTGCATTGCGTGGTTATATTATTGTACCCTGTAATAAATGTCCTTGGATATTACCCCACATTTTCTTGATTCCTTTCCTGCTACTTGATTGTAAGTGTTATTATTTCATGTGCTTAAACTATTTAACCGGGAAAGTCTAATATGTGTTTATCTTCATTGTCTTGATGACAGAGAAGGCAGGGAGTCACACAAACATCGCATTCAATACAAGAAATCATGTACAAGAAAAAAGAAGTTAAATGCTGAAATACTGACACTGTCATTTACGTTCCTAACTGTAATTTTATCTTGCTGGCCATTCTGTTATCTGCCTTAGAGCCTCTGATTAGCTCCTGTGCTTTAAAAAAGGCAGAGTTGCAGAACTGTGCAGTCTAAATTGGGAAGGATCGACCTGATAATCTGTTTCTTTGTCAAGCAGCCCAGCTTGAATGAGACCACTGGCGGAGCCAGTGGGGTGGCACGTGCCCCCCCCCCCCCCCCCACTGCCACTGTACCATATTATTACGTGCCAGGGACTCTATGAGACGATAGGACAATAGTCTGAGTCCATAATTGGCAATAAGTAACGGCAAAGCAGTTATAAGTGACTCAGAATTGTGCGCAGTTGCGTGTACAGGACACGACTTCCCTGAAGGCATTCACCTTCAGAGAGCGCGATGCCGATCACACAACGCGGCTCGAATTCGACCCTCGATCGATGGCTGCGCCATCGCCGCACACGCGTCGAATAAAAAGCAAGGGACAAGTCCTTATTTGCTAACAACTCCTATCATTTTTCATTGCTGGAGGGGTTGCCACCCCTACCTGAAAATCTTGGCTCCGCCATTGGATGAGACGATTAATCCAGCAGCTCACCGTGTGGACAAGTGTCCTTCCACTGTCCAGATCGGCTCCTCATAGAGCCTGCGTTGGCGCATCTTGACGGGTAATTTGTGTCACTGATTTTATTAGTTTTTGCTCTATATGTGGGCAGCGGTGTGTACCTACTAGAATTGTTGCGTTCACCAATGATTCCTACTGTTGGCAATCCGATTTTGTTCATGGGGGTTTATCGAAGCTGTAATATTGACATTAAAGAACCTGTGACATTCTTCATAAGAGTAAGCTATTGTGTGCTTTTTTTAGACAAAGTCGTAGTGTATCTGTTCAAATAATGTGTCGATGCTCTGCATCTTTTTGACAGCCATTGTTCAGTCGTGGATAATTTCACATTTGTACGGTGGGAGCTGTAGCAGAAACCACTGTTGATGTCCCACAAAGATTTAACAATAGCACTGATGCCCCGTAGTCTAAATGTAACATTAGCAGCAGCGAAATTGTGCCACGTTTATCTCCTCTGCTGACTAAAGTTTCCCATGTTAAAGTTACGTTGTGGCTGAACGGGCTGTCGCCTGCTAAATTAATGAGAACTTCGCATTTTATTGTGTAGCGGTCAACAATTGTGAATTGTGACCATGATTATGCCAGTACATTTTTGTGAATGTGGTATTGTGGTGTCATTCATATTTATTAGGTTAAAGCTGTTTTGCAAAGCATTGTCCATTGTTTTGTAACATATCTCTCGACTACAATACCAGCAGAAGTGTTTCTTTCATTGGAGCTGATTGCACAACAGTGTGCACAGTGTAAAATGCTGTTTTGTATTGCTTGGACGTCAGCAGTGATTGAGCTTTGGACAAAAGGCCCCTTATCACAGGATTGTAGCATTTGCATCACTCACTCAGGGCTGCCAATAGGGATAAGCTTTGCTCAATGTGTTTTTTTTTATATTAGTTTTTAAATCCTTAATTTTAAAATGTTCTTAATTTTGCTGATTTTTTTCTAAACAAAGTTACTGTTTATATGGACATTTCATCTCTGCATATATGTTTCGTCTGTGTATATATCTGTAATATATTTACTTTAATCTTGGATTGAATTTTGCAATGCGCTTACATAATTTGATGTAGTTTTATCTTGTGAGAACATGTATTATTAGTCTTCTTTGGGTATATTGTATGTATGTTGAACCTCTTTTGTACCGTACGTAGCCAACTGTGCTACATTTTGTAATAATTCTACTATGTACTCTTGAAATTCAGAATGTGATTCAGTTCAAAGTTAATTTGGAGCTGATTCAGTTGTTGTAATCGCAGCACCACGTTCTTTGATGATGTAATATTGCAAGAACAGCAACTATGTTTGTCCCTTCTCAACCCAGCATGGGGATATGGTGATCAGTTTATGAATTTTACTACCTCTGTTGTAAAGTACAAACATTTACAATTCACAGCACTTTGTTCAACCACTGCTGGATGAATGCACAGTGCACTAACCACTGTGCCACCACTACAAAAAGTATGAAGATGAAATAGAAACATGTCCCGCATTATAAACAGCACGATGCGCACTTGTTGAGTTCCCCTCGCAACGTCCCTTTGTTCTGAAGGTGTCACGTAAGTGGTGCGTGTGGCCAGGTGGTGATCCTGATGTCTAATTGCCCTTTCTTGTTGTCTCTGCTGCCTACTCCACCACGCCCCCCGTCACCAGAGGGAGCAGACATCAGCCAGGCGCTGCAGAGGCTGACGGAGCCCGTGCCCGTGCACATGCCCACGCTCTCCTCCATGAGCAGCATGGTGCAGGGCGCGCGCAAGCGCATACGCAGCCGCCGGCCTCGCGCCTCGGAGACGCCCATCCCCAACGCCCTGCTCAACTCTATGCTGCTGGTGCGCATTTGCGCGTGTTTGTGCGCATGGGTGCATGTGTGCGGGTAGAGTGGAAGCGTGGTGGTTAGTGCGCTGCGGTACGAACCTGGCGATCCGAGGTCTATTCCCGCTCACGGCCAACACTAGTGATGAATATCTGAGCTGGTAATGGGGCCTCACTTAAATCTACTCGGCCTCAAATGAGTACCCCGTGTGATGTGTGAACATCGCCACTGGAGAGACAAGGCTCCATGGTGCTGGCCACCCACCCCTTCGTGTGCTGGCCTTCATATGTGCTCGCTAGCAGCACTTGCCCCAACAGTCTGTGAAGGCTTTCCAGGAGATCTTTGGCTTTTCATCCCAACAGCCTGTTTAAAGCTGTCTAAATTGCACCCAGTGTGGCAGAAATCCCGTGGTGGTAGCATCACCACCACTTAATGTGGAATGGTGACTGTTATGCAGTGGTGTAGTGCTGAGTGCATGGCACTACATGGTTTCTAAGTGGTATCTAAACTTATCCTGGGCTTCCGATAGATTGACTGTGCTTGCTATAGTGTGTGAACAACAGCAAATAGGGAGACTAAGTTTTCTGAGCATGTATGGTACTGGCCATACTGTCCCTTGTGTGCCTTGCCAATCTGAGTTGGCGCTCACTAATAGCACTTATCCTTACAATCTGTAAGGATAATAGGAGGTTCATTTATTTTTTGCATATCAAAGTCCAAACTCAAAATGTTTCCATACCTAAAAAGCATTTTTGTTGGCATTAGCAGTGGTAATTCCACTCAACTTTTGATAGCTTGGCACCAATTTCATCAATAGATGAGTCACCCCCCCCCAATGGGATTTGAACCCAATTTGAATTACCTATCTCATTCTGGTCGGTTTTAAATCAATTTCCAAGTCTCCTTGAACATCCGCATACTGCACGGGCTTCATCCAGCACTATGTGAATCGTGGCTTCAGATTATTACACGTGACAGATGCGTTCCCTAATTGTTGCTCGTCACATTTTCTTGTGCTGTGGCAGTACCTTTTCCCAGATGCAGCTGACAAGTCGGCAGAAAGCCCAAATGCTAAACCCACTACTAGTTCAGCCACAACAGCTCCAGTTACTGAAGACGATGAAATGGTGGTAAGTGATATGGGGGGGGGGGGGGGGGGGGGCGGTTGGTGGATCACACAAACATACGTGATATGCTGCTGTGCACGGCATACCCATCAGCCTGGTAATAAGTTGCCTGTAGGATGGTAGTGCAGTAGAAATAGTCCTTGCAGTGTGGTCACTTGTGTGTATCTGTTTTTTCTCTGATATTTCTCTGTCTCCTGAAGAATACACTTTCATAAACAGGTCTCATAGTACCCAGGGGTTAGGTTCCGTGTACCCCCGCGTAAGCGCGAATTCGTAAAAGTTGGGGTTCGTCTATACAAGTGTATGTACAATCTATTGAAATGTACATAAATGTACATAAATGTACATTTGTATACATTTTACAGTACTGTATAGTAAATGATTCACTAATCCATAGCATCCACGTCAGATAGAACACTATAGCTTTTGAACTCGTTTCTTGCGCGGGCGATACAGTTACATGTTGTCAAATACACATTCACGTGATGGCGGGCGCCGATTTGACTCCTTGCTTCCCACGCCTTGCGTGTTGCAAAAGCACGAGTCACAAGTGTAAGTATTAATCGGGGTCGGTCGCGTATGAGCGGCTCCGCATACTCTGAGCCTGCGTACTCTGTGACCTTACTGTATGCATTCATAATTTGTGGTGCAAAGTATGACACGGAGACAGATCTTCAGAAGGGCTGATGCCAAGGTTTATTTGGAGGCTTACGCCTAAACTGTTACTGCTCCCGCCTACACTCCTGGCTATTCTATTCTCCCCCCCCCCCCCAGGGAAGGGTACTGGGAATCCGTAACACCCCCCTAACTATCTGGGCTTTTCTCCCTGACTGACCGAGGGATGATCCAACCCTGGTCAGTCGGGAACAGAGCCACTCTTAGTCCCGTGTTAGATTCCCCTACCCTGGGTCCCACTCTCAGCCTTCACCTTTCTCGGACTTCTACGACGACCCCCTTTACGTCACGGGTCCCCCCTTAAATACTTCAGGGGGACATCCCGTCACCGTACCGGAGGCGAGCGTGACATGACATCACTCACTACTCAACACATAGACCAACTACCTGGTATTATCCAAACTAACCTAGTTTGATTCCCGGCCATGGCCAGCACAAGTGGTGATTATATCAAGAGGTCTTGAGCCTTACCTAGATTGACTCTAACTTAAATGATTGTTATCGTGTATAAATATCAGCACTGGGGAGACAAAGGTGGCCGTGCATGGTTGTGACCATACCACCCTCTCATGGGCTGTCCCGGCCTTCGTAGGTGCTCGCAAACAGCACTTTCTCCAGCAGTCATTATGGCTGCAACACAGAATATTGTTTTTGTCTATACTCTGTGTGTGTGTGTTTATGCATCTGCGCACCGCTCACAATCTCTCCGCTTGATCGCCCCGCTAGACTCTGCATCGCAGCCTCAAGTCGGCGCCGGCTGACAGCCTGACCCACAAGCTTGCGCTGTGCCTCTGCACCGTCAACTACCAGCACGGCGGCCTCAAGGGAGTGGCTCACCTTTGGCAGGAATTCGTGCTGGAGATGCGCTACCGCTGGGAGAACAACTACATTATCTCCGGGTAAGAGGATCGTGCACTGCTTGGGATCCTTTCACTCTCGTCCGTTGAGTTTGTCTTCAGTTTAGAAGGAGTTTTGCAAATGTGACTGCATCTGGCATTGGGTGTTCTTCTTGGTCTCTGGGCGCCCATTACCAATGACTGTCTCGGAGAAGAGGTTTGTCAAGATTTACACAATAGATAATTTGATGAGTTGACACGATTTGGCGTTTTGATTAAAAATACAAATAGATATTTTAATACTTGTGGCGGATATACAAATCTATATTGGTGTGAGTCTATGTAATATATTGCGTGATAAACAAATTTGACTCGGAAATAATTTATTGTAATGTGCGCTATTCAACGTTTTTTTTATTGTGAGTGTAATAATTAGTTTTCTTTGAGAAATCAATGAATTGTTGCGTCATGCTCAATAATAACCTGCCCTGTTCCATCCAGTACACGTTCCACCCATGACAACCTCTTTTTCCTGATTATCTCTTTCCCACTACATTTTATTTAAAACGTTCATGCAGTCGTATCCAATGCCATAACGATTTAGCTTTTGAGACATTTGGTACTGAGGCTGGATAGTAGGGTATCAAGATTATGGATAAAGCAGTGGTTAGGAGTGGGCCTTTTTCACCGTTAAAACTAAAAACGACTTACTCATCTTCATCTCCTATGGGACATTAGGCTACAAAAAATAAAAAACTAATTAAACTAATATTTTTTTTTACCAGCTAAGGCCCACTGAGCTCCTTAGCTCTTTTTCAAAACGACCTAGATCAACAAAGTGGCTAATTATTTGGAAATTTATCGCAGTGAAATACTCTCAACGCATGTTGATTCTAAATGTGGAGGGAAAAACTGGAGGGCCCTGAGAAAAATCCACACAATCACGGGGGAGAACATGCAAACTCCAAATATATAGGCGTCAGGGTTGGGATCGAACCCACGACCTCCTGTATACCAGGCAAGGTAGTTACCATCTCCTAGCCACTGTGGCGCCCTCACAGGTGTCAAAAGGATGTGAGGTTGTACATTTACGAGAAAACGTTGTGTCTTTAGGTAGTATAATGCATGATTGACTTTAAAAATATATATTTCTGAAGTTATTTTAAAAGTTTCAAAGTACAAGCTTTCTACGGTGTTATTGCGTGCGAGTACATTGTTGGATGACGTAATCCACCTTGTGAGAGAAGTGAACATTTTTAAAGAGCTCAACATTTGGCTAAGAGACGTACATTTGAAGTGTGAGTAAGGCCTATGTTACTATACATGCTTGTGTGTATATGTCTTTGATTTGGTTTTGCTTAATTTATGATGGCCATCATTTTCACCTCCAGATTAACACCTGGCCCTCCTGACTACAGCTGCTGTTTATTGCATCAAAAGCTGCAGGTATTTTCTACATGGAAATTAATTTATCTGTACAGTGCTGTAGTCAGTCACGGTGCCTCACTTAAAATGGAACGTGGTAAGTTAAATTCCTGGTCAGGGGATATCTTTGCCTTTGCTCTTTTCAGAGTTAATTCAACGACTACCAGTTTGGGGAGAGTCAATATATGGTTGTCCCTGTGCGGGACAGGCATCCACCACTCTTTTATTGGAAATTAACAGTGCTTGTCCTATGAGGAGACAGGTCCCCTGCAATGGGAATGTGAATGTGCACCATTGGCTCAAGGCTGCTGACTGAGATGAGCATCGCTCTTCACATGTTTGAACGAGGAGACACTTTGGCTTAATCCCGTTCGTTGCATACGCCATTAGTAGATTCATGGCTAATAATGTATCCTACCCATGGGATGCCCTTTCTGTCCCCAAGATGCTCAACTGTTGCATCGAGAGGAAGAAGAGCAGGGAGGAGAGGCAGCGCGAATCGGGCAGCGCTGGAGGAGGAGGAGGGCGTGCGGGCGGCAGTGACACCGCTCCGTCAACCTCAAAGAACGGGCGCAGGGAGGCGGCAGCCGGGAGGGCCGTGGAGAGACAGCAGCAGGGTGGCACATCTGCTGAGATGGCTGCACAGAAGCCATGGGACTCCTGGAGTGAGGACAGCGAGGACGAGTTCTTTGAGTGTGAGAGTGACCTGAGCGACGGTGGCGAGGGAGCGGAGGAGGGAGGGGAGGGATCGACAGAAGGGACGAGACAGAGTGGCATTGGCGATACGAACGAGGACAATGCGAGCAAAGTCGCGGAGAGAAAGGAGGAGCGCAAAGCGGCAGCTGCTGCCAACGCGACCGCCCTGCGCAAGCCTGATGGACGTCTACACCAGCACGGGGAGATCACGCTGATCGAAAACGGGGAGCCCCTGTACATTCCCATCACGCAGGTGACTGCAACAGCAAACTGTGCGATTGTCTTTACATCAGGCAGTTTGAGGTGTAATGCTTGTTTGCTTTCGGGCGGAATTTTGGACCGCTTCTTCACTTAGCGTGCACGCGAACCTGTGTGGTGGAAACGGTTACGATTCACTTTTGTTTTTGTTGATTCTTGAATTGAGAATATTATGTTCACTACTAGGTTCACTTTAAAAGGATGGGCTTTCATTTGATAGGAATACGTTTTTAAGTATGTGTTACATTTCAGATAATTTGCAAGTTCCAGATAATTTAACTGTTAAAAAAGCATGTGTGCTTGGCCTCACGAGACCGTGACGGTGATAATCTGGGCAGGTATTCATCGCTGGTGTTTTTTACATCCAGCCCCATAGTACTGTGCTTAGATCACTGAATTTACGATTAAAAGGTTGCAAGTTGAAATCCCAGTCAGGGCTTGAAATCTCAAGTCACATTTTTTTTATCACTTTTTGTGGGAAATCCACAGCACTTGGTCATCCTATGCAGATACTGGGTATCACTGTGTAGTGGTGGTGTTGGTCCGTAATTGATCACTTTGGAGTGGGGTTTTTTGGGTCATCTGCTGACTCTCAAACCTGCTTGGTTGTGAGATGACCAGGAAACGACAATTTCAGAAATTTTAGTTTTTACACTTTCTTTTTTTATGTTATCACTCCATATGAACACATTTTTTTTGGTAATCAGGTTTCCTCCCACATGCAAAATACTAATTCGAAGAGAATTTAGTAAACATTCCAAATTCTGATCTCAATGAACCTCCATGAGGTTTATTGAGATCAGAATTTCCAAGAACACATTCCTGCGGAGGGAGCTGGTAGGAACGTTGGGTTGCTGGTCAATGGCCAGGGTCAACGGCGGCGTGGTGTATTCCGCAAATATGCCCGACTGTGAGGGCGGGCACAAGCCGGCATGAGTAGGTTAAACGTTGAATTTTATAAGGGCACCACGGGGTGACCAGCCCCTCCCCACCCAGCCCCTCCCCACCCTCCCCACCCAGCCCCTCTCCACCCAGCCCCTCCCCACCCTCCCCACCCAGCCCCTCCCCACCCTCCCCTTTCCACCCAGCCCCTCCCTCCCCACCCAGCCCCTCCCTGCGCAACGGACACAATAATCCCCTGTGGGCTGGTGTAACCAGGAGGTTCCTACCAGTATAAAGAGCAATTAAGTTCACCCCAAGCCTGGACACAAGTGCTGTGATGACTTCACTGCCGCTTACTGGTGGATGGTGTCTGATGTGCAGGAGCCAGCTCCCATGACGGAGGACATGCTGGAGGAACAGACTGAGGTCCTCGCCAAGCTTGGGACCTCAGCAGAGGGAGCTCATCTGCGCGCCCGTATGCAGAGCGCATGCCTGTTGTCGGACATGGAGTCATTCAAGGTATGTGTGTCTTGCCCTCTCTGTAGAAGACCCGTGTTCGCATCTTCACTCTGAAAAATAAATAAACTAGGGGACCACGTTGGTATCGGTGTACAAACACAAAAAGCTTACCACATTAATCAATACTGCAACAATAAAGATGATGACGATGGAGGCCTTGAAGAAGATGGCAATGGAGACAACACACAGACATGAACCCACACACACAGATTCGCATCCATTTTTCTGCACACGTAACATACATCATCATCGCTAATGATATCACACAACCCGTGCCGAATGAAAATATATTTGAAGTATGTGTTACGTATATTGGAAAACGAACATGGTTTCAAACAGTTGTGGTCCCGTGGTAGTTCCAGTGGTCTGAGTGCTGATGCTGGTGGTCATATTTGTCCAAGTAGTGGTCCTGGACATCTCAGTAGTAAGCCAGGTTTGCCTTAGTATAAAAGTCATGTCGGTCCCAGTGGTAGTTGTGGTGGTCCCACGAAGATGAGTTGTATTCCCGTTGGGCCCAGTCCTCCACATGGTTGTCCCTGGTGGGGGGTTGGGGTGGGTGTGGGGCCTCATTGAGCCCTTACTTGACTCAGCGGTTGAGCTGCCCAACAAAAATGGAAGGCCCATGGGACATGGACGGCCTAGTGAATGTCATCCCGGTCACAGTCATTACCCACGTCTTTGCGCATCTCGCTTGCAAGGGCATAGATACCCGAGTAAATGTTAGGTTGTGCATTTAGTTGATCTGTGTATAGCTTAGGTTTCAACTCGGCCTTCCAAACCCTGGGGTTTTTCAGGCCCTCAACCAGACCCCAGGGTCTCCCGTCTTTCTTGAATGCCATGATAGAATCATGGTGAATTCAGGCCAGTTCCAAGTACTTAGACACATTCTTAAGCATCGGGAATATCTTTAAATGGTGATTCTAGCAACAACGACCACATGGTTTTGACCCCGATACTAGAGAGCCACTTTCAACCCGGCCAACCGGGTTCCACAGAGTCTGGCCCCTCCACAGTTCCACGGTTCCACTGATCCCACGATCATTTTCACATTTGTATTCGATGGTAAGAATCTAATCGCAATTAAAGATAGCAATCATCAAATCGCCAAACTATGGAATTAACCACCTTTCTGCAATTTCAGATTCTTATCTGGCTTGCAATAGCCAAAGGAGATAAATGGTGCCCAATTGCTCATTTGGGCATGGAAATCAATACATTTTCTGGGAGATTGTGTTTGTGAGAGAGAGTGTCTCTTGTTACTATTTGCGTTGCAGGCTGCAAATCCAGGCTGCCATCTGGAAGATTTTGTTCGCTGGTACTCCCCACGTGACTATGAGGAGGTATGACTTCATGTTTTTGTTTTACCAATAATACCAATACTTTATATGTCATATACGAGTAGTTGAATTCTAATTGTCAGTGTGTGGGTTTATCTCTTTGCTTGAATCTACTTTGTTCGTTAGGCTAGTTCGCTAAATTTTTGTGAAAATGGGAATCTCTCCTTGTATGTACATAGCCAACCCTGCTCATTGGAGGTGCGGGGGAAGGACAACAAACTAAACACACAAAAAAGTTATAAAGAAATTAGTTTTCAATTTACATTTAAAAGTGCATAGCTCCACTGGCTTCCTTAGGAAGAGCGTTCCAGACGGTCGCATAAGTGTGTCTGAAAGTGTGTGATGCAGTGACCCTCTATCTTTAATAGAAGGGCAAATGCAATCCTAAAAAGCAAACAGCTGATGCTTTGGAGATGCACATAACTGCGCTGAGCATTCTTGGCTGTATGACACTTTGGAAGCTTTCTTGAATGAGGGGAAATATTTTTTTAAATATCATTCATGGCACTTTCGGGTGCATTGCCATAGCACCCTATGGAGGCTTTTCAGCCGCAGTGGATTAATTTCTCAAGTCACAAAGTGGCAGCCCCATGACTCCAGCGACATCGCAATGCAGGGTTCATTGTGGGAGTTGACCAGCGAGCGCAGGAGAATGTAATTACCTAGAGCCTAGATTTGAGATGAAATACGAGTTTTATATATATAAAGAATTAGATTTAACTCATCACTTTGGTGTGTATTGGTATTGCTTTGATATTGTAGTAATGTACCTCATTGTTTTATGGATTGCGTCTTTATATTTTTTCATGAACACGTATATCTTCTGCCTCTTAAATTTGCAGACTTTATTTGATCACTCTTCTGCATTTGGCAACACTTTTTATTAATCACAATTGCTGAGCACAGGCCCAAAGCCCCAGAAGGCCAGCAACAAACAACACCATTGAAGGTGTAGTAGATAAGAGTTAATACTTCTTTTTAATTGAGCAAGATTATGATAAGACCTTGGGAAGAGAGACGATGTGAGAGTATTCCAAAGTCGAGCAGTGCGGGGACAGAAGCAGAAAGGGTCGTGTTGTGACCTGCAGTGTGCTCGTTGCAGAGAGTGGATGAAAGAAAGCATCCAGTTGGTGCAGACTGAGTCCTTAAAATGGGTGGAGGAATCAATGAGTGAAGTGCAGGGGAAGAGTACCCAGAGTCGTAGTGACAGATGAGTGATGTGGAGACGTCTGATCGCGAGCGAGTGACAGGAGGGAATCAGCTCGTGCTACATCATCAATCAATCTGACTGCTTTACGTGTTGACTCTCGTCAAGTGCGGCAGGGTAGGAACCGGGGTGCTCCCCAGCTACGACAACAGCATTCCGACTGCAGTCGAATGAGTGCATGCTTTCTATTGTAACAGTTAAAAAGAAAGGCTTTGGCAACGGCTCTCCAGGTTCCTCCGGACGAGGACGCCGCCGACTCCGAAGAGTCGGGCGCTCCAGCCGTCGCCCCCCGTGGGCGTCTGAGCGCTCGCATGCAGCTGCCAGGGAACGTGTGGGTGGAGGCGTGGGAGGCGACGCGCCCCATACCCGCTCGCCGCCAGCGACGCCTGTTTGACGACACGCGCGAGGCCGAAAAGGTGCTGCACTACCTGGCGGGCATGCGGCCGGCCGACGTGACCCTCCAACTGCTGCCCTGCGCCATTCACGCCGCCCTCCTCAAGGTCAAGGAAGGTGGGGTTCCCGGTCGAAAGGTCGGCAGCGAGGGCTCGTTCTAGAAGCAATCGGGAACCTGTAATGTTGATGATGAGCTATGTAGGAACCGTTGTGTTTGTATGTTTGCTGAACTGATTTGGCACCATATGTAGCCATCCGCGCTAATCGGAGGTGCGGGGGAAGGACAACAAACTAAACACAAAAAGTAGTTCCAAAGAAATTAGTTTGCAATCTAGATTTAAAAGTGCATAGCTCCAGTGGCTTCCGACCATCGGGATTGACCTTTGACCTGAGTAAAATGGGGACCCATTATCTCTTCATGCTTATATTGTGAAGTTTTAAACTTTAAAAAGATTTTGGTTTCTGATGCAATAAAATGTTATGAAGGATCACCCTGTCCATAGAACGTGTTGTTAACAGCTTGTACCTCCATAAGTCAATGTTGTGCCTCTACTGAATGAATGAATACATGGTCTCTGATCTGCTTTTGGGTCATACCGTGTGTTATTCAGCTTTATGCTCGAAGTTTCGGTCATCATCCTGAAATCCGTTTCCTGAATAAGCTCCCAGCGCGTGGAGCGAAACGTAGCGCGTCGTCGTGCCGAGTAACACGTGGGGACAGCTACGCGGCAAGACCGCGGACACCTGCACAGGAGCGTTCGCTCGTTTACGTCGCTCTCGTTTGCAGAGTCATCGGAGGACGTGCCAACAGTGAATAAGCTGCTCAAGGCGTCCGTGTCTCTCGCCAGCCGAATCCTCCGCCACCCCAACCCCGACCCACGCCGCCTGGAGGTTGGGTCCCCATGCATCCCACACATCTCGCTGGCAGGGGGCTCTTGGGCGGCTTTTCATTTCACTTTTTAACTCAAACAAATGGCGATAATTTGATTAATAAAAAAAATGGCTCATAAAATCAATGGGATGGACACAAATGGATACATCCTTCCAAATAAGTCAGAATCATAATGTTTATTCATACTGAAGGAATCCGATGAGCTATGAAGCGCTTTTTCACAGATTTCCAGTTGGGGCATGTTAGAACATTACAACAACACATGGTACAAAAACACGATCGGAGTGCAAAGTATTGGAAAGGTAAACAAAAAATACAACTACATGTAAAAAAAATTATCTCACCAGGCAAAACCCACTGAGCTATTAGCTTCTTTTTCAGAAGCGACCTGGCCACAAATGATAGCTCAATGAAGCGACTGATCACGTGGAAATTTATAGCAGCAAAATTATCGAAACAATCTACCCCACTTGCAAACCGGATGAACTGTACATACGTCCGTTATGTTTTGTGGAATGCATTTAGGATGCAGTGAAATTAGGTGTAAGTTGAACATGGATGTATGTCATTATTTCCATTCACTTGCAGTTGTAATCTGGAACATACTAAAAAAAACTGTGTATAAATAATGGTCTATGATGCCAGTAGTGGCTGATAAAAAGAAATACATCTAATTTTGAAAATGTTAGTTACGTTACTGAAAATTCAACTAAGTGATGTAGCCCAGTTGCTGAAGTCAATTTAAGTAAATTGTCTCCCTGCTAAAATGAGTGTCGAGAAGTGTGCATCTTCCTTGGTGGCCCTGATCGTGGAAACACTTTGCCTTATTTGAATGCAATAACAGGTACAGTAAAACCTTGGATTGCGAGTAACTTGGTCTGCGAGTGTTTTGCAAGATGAGCAAAAAATTTAAGTAGATATGAATTTGATAAACGAGCGAGGTCTTGCAATACGAGTAGTACACTTGATACAGTAAATCTAGCTGTGACGGTCCCACCTGATGACGGAGACTTGTGTTGCCTCTGAAATGTCGTGATTTATTATTTTATTTCTATAATTATTTCAATTATTTTTTTATTATTATTTATTTGTATCTATGTGACTTTACCGAAAGAACCTAAGAGTATGAATCCTTGCAGTCACGAAAACTTCAAATCTAAAACGTATACGCTTCGTCTGCCAAGCGTCACGTGATCACAACTGATATTCGATTGCTTTGACATACGAGTGCTTTGGATTACAAACACGTTCCTGGAACGAATTATGCTCGCAATCCAAGGTTTTACTGTATCGAGGTGTTCCTTCCCGATTGAGATTAATCTTATTGCATTCTCACCTGGTTAGGCAGAGGATGCTTGAGTGGATTGATTGAATGCATTTGTGCTCCCGTTTGCAGGAGGTGATAAGCCAAGTGACGCTGGCGGAGGCGGTGATCGCCCGTGGGCGCTCGCTTCGTGCCAAGTTCGCCATCAACACATTTGACAAGGAGGAGGAGAAGACGGAGCTGGAGAGGTAATGGGACCACCATCATTACCATCAGCACCACCAGTGTCATCATTGTATCCTTCTTAATCAGCTTTAATATCATACGTTTCTTAATTATATTTATCAGTTATAGCAGCAGCATTACATTAATTACTGCAATAATTGGTTACGCTCTTTTAATCCACCTGAACCCTACACTGTGTGTTTTATTGACCTCAGGTTTGTGTCGAGTTTGCTGGAGGAGCCGGAGGTTCCAGTCTTTGGTGCGGGAAGGGGCCCAGCAGGGAGCATCATCCACCGTCTCTTCATGAGTGCACAGCAGGTACGCTGTGCCACGCCTCACCGCTCCGCTGCGGGCTAGTGTTGTGCCTGTGCAGACAACACGTGTTTGGGATCGCTTCATGGTTGCTGGTCTGGCAGTGGCATTTATGTTTTGCAGTTTCAGTGATTCGGGTTCAATCGCTAACCTGGGTGCGCTTTCAAGTCGCATCGCGTAAGTAACAAGCTGTTTTATCACAAAGACGAGGGGCTATACCCAAACCGTGCTGGACCAGTAGTGGATCCTTGGATGGAGGGAATCAACAGTTTTTTTTATACTATGAAATTATAATAAGAGTTTACTTATTTGTATTCACGAATGCCACACTGATTCCTAGGACTTTTTTCAGGAGGGTCCTGCATTAGTTTTTGATCTTAAAGTGTTTTCAGTGAATTGACGACTGTTTATACGTGCGGGAATGTAGGACAGAGTGCAGTTATTTTGTTCTCCAAAAGGCTTATTCACATTCACAGTCGTATTCTTTACACCAGATTTAATCGAACGATCACATTCAGCCAACTTTTTAGATATCCACATAATGAGAAAACGTATTACACTCAACACAGGCAATGCGCTTATTAACTTGAGAATGCGTAAAAAACAACCGCCGATGACTCATTGCTCTCTGGTGAATTCATAATCTGACACTACCCACAACCTAACCTCATCTACCAAGACTATGTGAATACTCTGTAAAACTCAATATCATTCCTAAAGGCCAGTCATATAAAACGTGTATCTCCTTGCACTATACATATATGTAAACTAAAACTTTATTTTTGACTAACCTGTTGTTGTTTCTTGTCAAATTACGTATGTGCACATTTGCACTTCATCATCAAGTGTGCGAGTTTATCCGTGCACGCATACGTTTACATTGAGTCATTTGGGAATACTATTTGGTTGTTTAGCTGGAGCACATCAACATTGTGCAACAATAGACACCCAGCCAGTGTGGCAACACCATCGTTAGCGCAGTTGTAAGGTGGCCGACTGGCTCCGAGAAGGGGGGGGAGAGGGCGTTAATGCCGTGTCCATGTTAGAGGACTAAGCCATAACCGCTGACATTCTTGATTCACATCCGTGCAACCATTTGTAATAACAAAGGCAGGTTGTTAAGTGTAACAAAGTCTGAACCGAGGGTGACCAACGAATTATGCACAAGAAATAAAATAACTAGAGAGTGATTTGAGAGTGACAGTGATTTATTTTATAACTTACGTGACTTTACCGAAAGAGCCAAAGAGTATGGATTCCAGCAGTCACGAAAGCTTCAAATGAAGATATGCACAAGGATGAAAGCATAAACAAATTGTTTTCATTTCAAGACCAGCTCTGAGATTGTATGCTATACACAATGTGTCTCCTTGCTCATATAAGATTGGGGTAGAGCTCATTGCTATTAGCGGCCCGGAGTCAGTGGTGGAAATTCCACATTCCTATTGTGAGGAAAGTATCCAAATTGCGCTTCTCATTTGATCAACTGTGGATGAATGTTTAGATGAGCCAACTCCAAACCTGGATTTGAACGCACAGTCTTCTGATTGTGAGTTTTGCTCTTGGCAGAGTCATCCAGTTGGAGATAAAAAAAAAGATAATCTATTTAAGATCCGCACAGTTGCTCTTAAAAGAAAATGTCTGTAGGGTGCGCTGTAACACTGTGCATTGAATCACCTTGCTTTGCCAGCTGTGCTGTCACTTGCATTGCTCGATCACTTGTAAAAGTAATAGTTTTTTGGAGCCAGAAGCCATCACAGCAATTTTTCGTGGTCTTGTCCATTAGTCATAGATGCGCATTAGCCTGTGCCACCAGCCTCATGAACATAGTTCAATGATAATGCTTCCATAATGGCCAATACAATAAGCTCTCACAAGTCCAATGTCAAATGAGCGTAGTGCACTGCTTTTATTCATTTACAGCCCTGAATTAGTTGGTGGAAAATCAATTTTCTTGTGGCAGAGTTATTCTAGCCTCTCCATAGAATGGCCACTGTTGACTACTTACAAAGTGGTACCTATTTTAGTGTTCTCAGAATGATGATGATGGGCTGAGTTGGCCACTGACTGGGATTTTAATTCACAACTTCTCTCACCACAGTGCCACCCAGACGGATATTAAAGGCACTAACTTCTACTGTGATAAACGTATCGACAGCCCACTCGCAAGGACACATAAATGGTTAATGTGACCACAGGCTGAGAGGCTTAAATTCCAATATAACAATGGCCTTTTCAAAATACCTCGCTTATGCATATACCGTTTTTGCTGAGCCTTTGAAGTAAAGCTATCAGGATAACATGACTGCTCTAAGTTAACCTTGTATGTCAGCTCGTATATATATATTTTTTTCAGCAGTGCTTTTACAAACATTAAAGCAGTGTTTTAGGGATGCTTCAGTAGAAAAGCAATCACAGGATTGATATATTAGTGACTTAAAACAAGGAGTCATATACTGCACTGATGTTTGGGCAATGTGCTGTTTTAAATGTGGTGTTCGCCCACCTCTTTCAACACACCTGGTAAGCATGGAAAAGTAGACAAATTACACAATATGAGTCTCTCTAGTTGAGGCCCGTCCCGCAGCATTAGCATTAACAAGCAATTGCAGGGAGCTCCTTTACATCGACTGCATATAGTCTTGCCAAAGTGGTTGGCGCACTGTTCTCTAAACTCTGCCACCTAAGTTCAATTCCTGGCCTAACCAGTGGCGAGTGACATCCGAACCGGTTCTGAGTTTGCCCCCCCCTCACCTCCATCGTCAACACACACTGACCAGCGTGGTAGAGTATAGGTCAAACAACTTCCTTGACCCACGTGGCTTGGGGAGGCATTCATCCAGCAGTGGATTATTATTAAAGCCAACAACAATCAAGGCTGAGATTTAAATCCTGTATGTGAAAACGCTCAAAAGATTAATTGTCTCATGGGCCTTATTGCCCAAGTCAGAACAATCAGCCAGCAAACTCTTGAGCACCTCGGTTTGAATCCACGCAGGGGTCCATGATCAAACCAGATTGGCAAATATATTAAATTTGAAGGTTTGTTGTTTCTTGGATCAATCACCAACGACGTCATATTTAGTATATGTTTTGTATTTCATTTAGCTTAGCTTAGCTATGAGGCTGAATTTTTTTTATATTAGGATTTGATAGACCGCCATCTATTGTTGGGTCAAACGGACTCCTTGAGTGTGTGGTGTCATTTACGAGGGCCATTCTGTGGCATGATGTGAAGATGCTGTATCTTCTGAATAAGGTGTGGACTTTATTTTCCCTTTGATGTCACTCCAGCAGCACAATTTGATTGCAATTCGTCATGACGTTCAAAAGCTTTTATACTTTAAAACACAAACGCACATACACATACGTTTAAACTTCATTTAAGACATACGTGTCTATGTAAGTGAAGGGAATATGCAAACAACACAAACAACATGTGCATGACGTTTGCTCATTTCACCTGGAATTATTTAGTGTAAATTTCAGAAATTAATTTCACTTACACACTAAAAATGTTCGGGAAAAGTTGTCGTCAAATACTTTTGCAGTGTTTTGAGAAGCTGTACGTCTCTTATCTATGCTTTAGCTGTGTCACGTCAACCGGTTGGCAATGTACATACCTGCAGGAAATGTCTCGGTTAAATTGGTTACCTGCGTCATTGTGCGGCTGTTTCGTCTCCAAACAGACAGACACTCAACGCCTGTTTCTCTATTTCTTTCTTGAAACAAACCAGCAATCCAGCCCATCAAATGGGATTACGCCTTATGTTTAGATTCTGCATTAAAAACACTGATTTAATTGCGCTATTCTGTGAGATTGTATTAGACCTTTATATTGGTGGGGATAGCAATCATATTGAAAGGTTTATGTCAAGAATGATCATTATTCCAGCTAGAGTCTTAGAATATTCCGAGGTATCTTTCGATGCTTTAAGCAAATTACGAACCAAAATAAATGTATTCAGCTGGTAGACACTGGCACAATGTCCAACTTGAATTTGGAAGGTTGTGAATTCAAATCCCAGTTGGAGGGAAACTTTACCCAACATCTCTTGGGTATCGATAACATACATACCACATTGTCGGATGAAAATAGTGCATCTGTGGAGAGACTGCCCCTCTGAAATAATGTGGAATTTCCACCACTGGTATAGTGCTGCCAACAGAGAAGAGCACCATCCAATGCTCTTAGAGGAGTCCCTTTTCAAATTTCTCAGGAAAGCGACCTCTTTTTCAATATGCTAATGTTAGTGCCGTCTTACAAACACCGTCTATTTCTAAAAACAATGTTCCCCCATATAGCCTTAACAGACTGTTGGGGCAATTACTCTTCGGTTCTTTTGGTAAAGTCACGTAGATGAAAAATAAAAATAATAAGATTAAAATAACTAAATTAAATCACGACGTTTCGGAGGCAACACAGGCTTCCGTCATCAGGTGGAACAGCCACAGCAAAATTACTGTAGTGTTCCACCTGATGACGGAAGCTTGTGTTGCCTTCGAAAAGTCGTGATTTAATTTAGTTATTTTCATTTTTTTTTTCATCTACATTACTTTATATATATTTTTTTCCATCTACGTGACTTTACCGAAAGCACCAAAGAGTATGGATCCTTGCAGTCACGAAAACTTCAGATCTAGAATGTTGGGGCAATTACTTGTGAGCGAGCACCTATTAAGGCCAGCACAGCACATGGAGGGGTGGGTGACCAGCAACACGCCCAGACACCTTTGTCTCCCCTGTACTGATGTTAACACACCATGTACAAGGGAGCCCCAGGACCTGCTCAGATTATTTGTCGTTGATGTTGGCTGCCAGAGGGAATCGAACTAGGGTCGTGGGGTTCATTGCGCAATGCGCAACCAATGCACTGGAGCTAAATTTACAATACATACACACACGTATCATCACGCGCACGTGCACGAGTGTGCACACGTGAATACAAACGTACAAGAAGTTACACGGACAAGTGTGCGCATTTACAAACATGCGCCTGCTTGCACACACACATGCGTACAAGTATATGAGCACACATGCACTCGCATGCACGTGCTTGTACAGCACACAAGTGCACGGACACGCAGGCACATGTTCAGGTTCGCACAGAGACGGGACACACAGAGAGAGAAATGAGGTGAGACATGAGGAGAGAGGCAAACAGAGGTCGTCGTGAAGAGAGAGACACCAGGGAGATGAGAGGAGAGACACGGGGATTGAAAGACACACGGGTTAGATAGACACATGCGGAGAGAGACACTGAGAGAGAGAGAGTTATCGGAGATAAACGAGAAAGGGCATAGATGAAGGACAGTTGGGTGTACAAGGAGAGAGTGACAGCACAAGGAGAGACTTGGGGATAGGGAGTTGCTCACAGCAAGAGAGACATGGGGCCCGAGACAGACCTCTTGCGATCCCACAATTGCCTTTCGTGGCCTCTGAAGATTGCGACCCTCAGATTGAGACGCACTGTTGTAGAGAATAATAGCATTACATATTTACATTCTAATTTGAGCTACATATATTCTTTGTCAAACCCATCATTATACATTGAGTAAACACTGTGGTGTAAAAGCCATTTTATTCATTGGCCCGGACAACGTCGACATCCGATTAAACTCTAGGAATATCACTGGTTGTAACTGGCCACATTTCTTGTGACGTACGTTGAAATGAATCTAATTTTGAGTGACGAAAATTGGCTGATATCAGTCTGGCCTGTTGCGGTTATCTTTGAAGACATTCATTTTTCAAAAACAGCGGCCTCTTGTTCCAACAACTGAACTCTTTGGCACGATAGAAAAATATTGCTCATTATTTCCTTTTGTTAGCCAGTAACTGCATCTACATTGACTGAATAAGCAACACTTATTTCATATTCTGATTGCGAGGTAAACCTTTCAACAGTGTTTGGTATGTTTCAGTTTTTTTCATATCGTCAAATTTGACAAATACAATACATTCAGATCACAATTGGACATTTTGCAACAACAACAAATAGAAAATGTGGACCAAAGGTTGGACTTTGAGTGTCTAGAAAATGTCAGGTCGCTCATTTTACCGAAACTTAAAATCACTCCAAAGGAAGTTTTTCACAATCAGAAAAATATTGACGGCATGAAATTTCGTGGTCAGTCAAAGCGACGAACCTTTTAAAGTTGTGCTGGCAACTTTTGTAATCTTTTTCCCCTCTATGGTGCTCTACTGTGCAATGAAAAGGTCTGCGCTCTTGTTTCTAAGCCGAGGACTAATATCTGGTGGAACCTTGTGTATGTTTCTATCATTTTCCAGCCTCCATAATTGTTGTCTTGTCCTGTGCCTTGTTCTTCCTTTCCTTTTCCCTCGCTTGTTCTTTGACCGCTGCTATTCCGCCCTCTCTTCTGCCAGCTCTCTGACACCAGTGATGAGGTAACTCAACTCCTCTCTACTAACACCCTGTGTGTATTATTTTCACTGCCCGCCTCGAATTGCAAGCTTTGCTTTTTTTTATTTGTTACCTCTGCGGCTTTTGGGCATTTTTCCAGCATGTGACCTGATACCTCCACAAGCGCCGCACTGTTGCACATCACAGTAGTGTCATTTGCGTACAAAGACCAAGGTTCCAGAACCCGATGGCCATTTTACAGACTTTTGGGGCAAGTGCTGTTAGCAAGCTCCTATGAAGGCCGGTACAGCACATGGGGGGGGAGGGTAGCCAACACCATGACCAACCACCATTGTCTCCCCAGTACTAATATTTACACACCACACCAGGTCCTCATTTAAGGCTGCGTCTATCTAGCGGAGGCCTAGGACCAGCAAATATTCAACACCATTATGAAGCGGGAATCGAACTCGGTTCTCTAGTTCGTAGGCCAGTGCGCATACCACTACACTACCGCTTCCCAATTTACATACAGACACGTGTACGTGCACATACACGTACGTAAGGAATTAATATATGCAACATTTGATCTATTTTAGCTGTATACTTTGTGTGTGTGCATAGTGTCTGCTTAGTGAAGTGGGCAGTGATGAGTACTCATCTCTATTGGTGGACCTGATCCAGTGGTCGGAACGGGCTTGTTTCTATAGCAGCTGTCCGTTTCTCTGCATGGCAACCACCGTTAACTTTTGACAATGTGAAACGCGTTGCATTTGTAGAAGCTAGTTTAATAACAATACACCACCTCTCTTAGGTTAAAGGGGTGAAACGTGTGCATGATACAAGGGACACACATTTTAGTCGCTCCTATTAACGGAAGGACCGCTCACAATGTTATATGATTCTTAAAATAAATAAATATTTCCCCGTGGCTGCACATTACAATCATCCCAACGCTGCTTGGTGGAAATTACAATCTGCACCATGGATTTGAAGGCAGCCAATGTGCCCATTTTCAAAATAATTGGCTCCAAAATTGGTTCTATGTCTTGCCTCTTGAAGCCCGAGAGAAAATAAGTTACGTGAACAAAGGCGGAGTTATGAATTATAGATTTGAAGTTTTCGTGACTGCAAGGATTCATACTCTTTGGGTTTTTTCGGTAAAGTCACGTAGGTAAAAAATTTAATGAAAATTTTTTTTAAATGAAAAAATGCTAAAAATCTTGATACAGTAATTTTGCTGTGACGGTTCCACCTGAAGAAACGTCGTGATTTAATTCAGTTGTTTTTTCATTTAATTTTTTTACCTACGTGACTTTACCGAAAAAACCAAGGAGTAGGAGTTACGACGCACAAATATTCGATTCTAAACAGTGGTCGTGGGGTATCGTGCGGTAGAGTTTCTGCACAGCTGCTTTTTAACTGGATCTCAGCCTTCTGCAGCAGTACCCAACTCCACACTCACTGGCGGTGAAACACTCAACTCGGTTAGAAAAATCATCACATCCTGGTTGGGGATTTACTCTTTCCATTGTCTCTCGCGGATTGATAAAATTAGTTCCACTTTGCGGTAAGTCAACAGCGGTCCTCCTATGGAGATACTAGCTCCGAACATAGGAACATGGAATTTCCACTGCTTGTTCAGTGGCACCAAGAGGGGGGATCAGCACCTGTCCACATTTGTTTGAGCAAGAAGATGGTTTAATATACAGTGATCTTTACATGAAAGCCTTCATACATGCAACCGCATTGCATGCATTTGCTTACATAAATAGATTTTAATGCAGAAATGCACAAGTACATGAATGCATGAAGGTACATGTCATGCATCTGCCCTCACATATTCCTTGATAGTATTTGGAATGGAGAGTGCAATATGTTAAAGAGCTATTTAGAGAGTAATTCATTAATCAGAAAAAAGATCAAGTCTTGAATGCATCACTCATTCCCATGTCACCATAACTGTCTGATGCTTCACCATCTCTATTGATTGCTCTCAGTGGGGACCCCCATCTTGCTGGCCTTAATCACAGATGTTCTCTGTCGAAAAAAAAGCTTCATTTGTCTGCAGTTTATTTTCATAGAACAACCATGCTTGGGTGTGCACTACTTGGATGGAGACATGTTGAACAATCGGGCTAGCATATTCTTGGTTCTTTCGGCAAAGTCCCTTCTACGTGACTTTACCGAAAGAACCAAGAATATGAATCCCTGCAGTCACGAAAGCTTTAAATAAAAAATCGGGCTCGCGTTGAAAACCACAGCTCATGAGCAATGCATTAACATAGCAGCTCAATCAAAACAGGCGTGGGGATGGCTGGTTTCCCTTATGATCTACATGTTTTCCACTGACAAGGCAGATTGCTGTGGTTTAGCCGTCTGAATCCCGCTTACTGTAATCCTTGGAAGGTATTTTTGCAAACACATAAGTTGCACGCTCTGACCTGCAATTCAGTAGTGCATGTCAAGATCAAATGTATTTAGGTTGGAAGGGATTTAGTGAGAATCTCCTACAACTTGCATTGCCCTCTCTTCATTGGTAGTAGTCAGATGGCATCCTGGAAATAGATCTGAACCTACGTGGATAGGAGCATGTCGAGAAAATAAGCTGTTGATCTAAATGGGCTCTCATGTGGGTTTAATTTTAAAAAATCACAAAATTATAGTAATTGCAGTTCACAGTTACCAGATCTTAGTAAATGAAAAGGCTGAAAGTGTGGCCCTCACTTTCAGCCTTATACCAGCAGTTTCAGTTTAACTGTGTTAAATCCCTGCAGTGTAATGCTGCGACGCTATGTAGTAACTTTTTATTAAGGATCAGTTCAGTGTAGCTATGCCATCCTACTGCCACAAAACTCTGAGTTTTGTGGTTATGGGTGTTTCTATTATGCATTGAAGTCTATATTTATTTCACCCAAGCATGTACTGATGCTCTTTTCAGCATGAACACAGACTTTAAACGATCATTCAATGAACGGGCCATTCACCTTCTTTTACCATGTATCAACATAAAGTAAGGTCCGACTCTGCTTTTGTAGTAATTGCATACATTTGAACACTACCCATAAATTAACATTATCAGAGAGCAATTAATGTGTCCTCTTGCCCCTGCTAACCATTTCGAGCACGTGGCTCATCCGCATACATTTCTGAGTTCATATTTTGGTCACCTCTTCATACCCTTGGGATCAATGAAATGAGGTCCTGCCTTATGGGGAAGATGTAATTTCCAGCTCTGCCTTCAGGCCATAAATTGTCATGAGGCACTACCCTTGAAGAAGCTTCCAGCACGTGGAGTGAAACATGGGACATCATGCCAAGCGATATGCGCTGCACACAGGAAACACATCTGGGGCCTATGCAGCACGACCGGCCAAAACCTGCGCGGTACTGCCTCACGCTCGCTTGTGCCAGGAAACACTTTGACTATCGACTCGGCTCCCTGTGCTGCGGAGCACTGAGAGTTCTCTTCTGAACCAACTTGCTGAAATTCAGCGGTCGACACGCAGTCGATGAATAGGTGTCCTCTCAAGGCGTTGCAGTGCATTAATATCATTAAATCTAGGACATTGCCCGTCCGCTTTGAGATTGACTTGGCTAGATGGAGCCTCTGTTGTTGACAGAACTCAATTCCGAGTGTTTGCTGAACTGTCCGCATTAAATTCCTTTTATTGCAAATAATGGCAGCAAACCGTTACGAAGAACATGTGTTATCTGACATTAAGGAAGCCTATTTCCAATCTGCTGCTAGGGTGAGTGCTGGTTATATGAACCTTGCCATCCTGCACATTTTGTACTTGCGTACAGCACATCTAACGCTATTGTTTTTATAAAGTTAAACGTGTTTTTAGAATAATATTTTCCCACCACCGCTAACGTGAAACAATGACCTTTATTGAAATGTGATGGTGTAAAAGATACAAGTTATTTGTTGAAGCTAATTCTGACTCCCTGTGTGTGGACGGTCAAATGATTGTGCAATGAGTAGATGATTTGTACTTTTCAAATTAGCGCGAACATCAGCAGCCACGTCTCGAACGCTTCAACATTTTATTTCAAAGTGGTTCCCTGCGTAAATGAGCAATGTGGCGGCGGTGCTGAACCAATGGTGGAAAGTCCACGTTTCCATGGCGGGGCCAGTTTATCCAGATGACAACCACAGGTTGTTTTTTCACAGGATGGTACTCATTGAATTTACTCGAGGGAACTGATGCTCCGAGTCGACCCCCGACTGGAATATAACTACGACCACAGCACCCACCGAACCGGAATGTCACTGCTGCAAATATTTCCTATTTAAGGCAGATGTTGAACGCAGTGCTCTGAATGATGCAGATTCCTCTTCGACGGAAATTCTCTGGGCATGCATCCCACAGGAGTTCAGTGAAAGCCGTGCAAGTTTGCGCAGTTCATGCATTATTCACGGATGTTGTTTATGCACAACATATGTCCCTTTTGGCTTTTAAGTGGTTGCCAGTCTTTAAAGCTGCTATGTAAGCATACGCTTAGCTGCAGTTCTTGTCTCGCGACCCACTGTTGGTTACTTTGTTAATCTTCTTGGTTCTTTCGGTAAAGTCACGTAGAAGGGAAATAATAAAATAATAAGAATAAAACATAATAAAAGACAATATGTAAAATTTTTGATTATTTTATTATTTCCCTTCTACGTGACTTTACCGAAAGAACCAAGAAGATGAACTTTCAGGTTTTGCGCAAATATATGTGTATATGTTGCATCTTATGTTCAGTACATACTACTGCTATCCAAGCTCAACTCTGCTTAGGTTCTACGATTTTATAATAGTGGGTGCATCCCAGACGTTTTGGTTATAAACTAAATATAAAGCAAAAAAAAAGAGTAAGCATCTCTGTTCTTAATTAACCCACTGGGGGTAGTGCTTGATGTCTGTTGGAGACCTTTAGCTAATTTTAAGAATTCACCATTCCTGAGAAACACGGCCGGGTAGCTGGCACCAACGGAGGCCCTGGGTGTCAACCTGGGTTTCAGACATCAAAAATCAAACTTGATATTCACACATGGTTAGTTATAATGGTCTTCGTCTGGTCACCATTGACTAGAAAAAAAAGATGACATTTGGTTCGACGCTTTAATTCAGCACGCTATAACTCCCGTTAATTAAATGTGTTGTGTGAATTGCTGTTAACGAACGCCCTTTGCAGGGTATTTGAAAGGTGTGCCCCTAATTTGGATAAAGAGGCCTGTTGAAGCAACTTGAGAAGAAGTTATGTGATGTCATATTTCAGAGCTGTTCTCTCTCTCGAGATAGGGCACTGCTTGCTCAAGTTCTGAATTGAAATTTGTCGATAGCAGAATGAGAATATAATTGTGGGAAAAAGCATAATCGTGGTATAGAATTGCTGATGGAATTTCGAAATACAAAAGCAAAACGAAAGGATTTGAAATGTTGATGCTCAAACTGAAAAATGTTGGCATGAATATTGCTTCATAACATAAAGTGTTTCGGAGGCGAACATTTCAAACAATGGCTCTCGTTCAGAGCAGAAAAGCCAATGAAGTTTACTGACTTGTAGTTGGAGAGTGAATATATTACAATGTCCCATTGTTTTCAAGGCTCCACATTATAAAGTGTGGTGTCCGGCCGTGACAGTCAATCTGGCTCACCTGTTAGTACTCTGGCCAAGGGTAATTGTTGAAAGTGTTAGCCTGATAATCTATAGTTCCTATAATCAAAGTGTCTCCTTACGGTTCTAATGAACGTAGGCGGCGCTATTCTCCCTAGGCAGCCCTGAAACAGAGTGACCAGTTAGAAATTCAATATTTACGTTACAAGAGGTAGTCTCCATATCACAAATGATTTTGACTTACCAAAAAAGTGGTAATCGTACTCGCATTCGGAGAGATGTTAGACTCGGTGAGTTCTGAACTGGTGTTTGAACTCGCAACCTAAGCAGTTCTAATGGTGGCGTTGGTGCTTGTGGCGGTGGTGCTTGTGCGCCACCGCCACCAAACTATCTGTCTTTCTCATTCAGCTCCAATACGGAGAGGCCGCTGGCTTTGCGAACGTCTGGCAACAACCCTCGACTGTCTACGACCAAATCCCGTTTTGTTGCTGACGTTTCCATATCGCCAATACACCCCCCATACATTTTCCTCTGGAATTCTCAAATGAACCATTCCGGCCTCCCCTTTCCGACAGGTGACCTCCTTGACGCCAGTCGACGAAGACCGCTCGCTGGCCGCGGGGACGGCGGGCGGCTCGGAAGAGCGCCGTGGGGCGGCTCCTGCCAGCACCGCGGCGGGCCTGGCTGGGGGCTCCGCTCAGGGCGGGCAGGGCAACGGATTCCCCGCCCCGCGGGGCCGCGAGTTCATCCTGCGCTGCACCGTGCCGCGGCCTGCGCCGTACTCGCGCGCGCTGCCCCACAGGATGTTCTGCGTGCTCTCCAAAGACCAGTTCACCCTCGCCGGGGCCTTCTCCTCTGACACGTCCTTCTACTAGCGATTTACACTGTCGGCGTCGGAATTTCGGACGGGGGCTTTTGAAAATGTTGCGATGCTTTGACCAAGGCAGAGGCACCGAGTAAGTACGTTTATAAATGCGCAAATCTTATAAACTAGGTGATCACGAGTGCGTGCTGAGCCCTGTGCTGAGATATTAGTTTTCAAAACTTGGCCTCCATTGGGCAATAGGGGTGGAGCCCATCATTGTTGGCAGGCCCTGAGCCAGTGTAAGGCACTCAATGTATCGACCCCAGGGGGATGATAGGCTGCATCAGTTCCTAAATGGGATTTAAATTCGCAGCTATACATAATGTCATTCTAGTGCTGTAACTCTGGTGCCACTTAGCCAGATCAAAATTAAAAGAGCAACCTAAGACAGAAATTGACTTTCTGTTGATTAAACATTGTCAGAATATCCATTCATGTTTAATGGGCAGATGTAATCAACTTCGGCAAGCATTACATTTGACATTTCGCCTCTGGCGAGAGGGCAGTCTGCTATTGTAATGTAAATTAACATGATGGTTGCCACTTGGTTAGAAAGCAAACGGCGGTCATCCTGAAGAGACTGGCCGCTGCTGTTAGAATGTGGAGCGTTTAACCACTGGTTCACAGCCGCCAACAGAGATGATCACCTCTCAATTGCTCGTATAGAGGAGGCGTTATACACTTCAACCTTTTGGATTTTATTTAATATGGTGTGTCAACGTCAGCACTTTGGGGGTATCATGTCCACGCATGCTGTACAAAACATGGAATGGCTCCCACAATCCATTGTATGTCGTGATGTAGCCATGGTGTTTCGGTTATCGCTTTGTGTTTAATGGAGGTGAGCAGACTCCAGCTGGCTTAGGAATTTTCATCGTGGGTGCATCTATATGCACGCATAGCTTACTGCGCTGTTTGATATTGCATTGATAGAAGAATATCATTCGTAAACATGTCAGGCTTTACCTCGTGTGCAATCAGACATTCACTTGTTTTATCCTCACGGTGCATGTATTGTTGCATCCTTGTGACACCACAAGGAGTAAAAAATGCGTGTACAGTTAAAACTCATTTTATCCCAACAAAGTGTACTTTTTTCATTAGCCATGCTTGAAACTCACGTTAGGGTGATATACACGGCCGAGGTCTCCAGAATAACACCCAATAGTTTTTATATTATACCTTCTCACAATCGGGGACATTTACTCTAACCCACTGAGCTATATCCAAACCAAGTATGCTGTCTTCGAGAAGTTGACAATGTAGCAAACACAGTGGCATTTTTCCCATTCAAGAAAAGGCAAGTGCAGCCTTGGGCTTACTGCTGTTATTTATCAGCCGCCCACGCCTGCCATACCGAAATGTATTGCAGGACTCTTGCTATCCCTGTAATTGTCCACTTGAACATTTCTCACCCTAAACGTGTTGTCACGGTCAAAGAACCAGGGAAATGTATGGGTATTGCCCCAAGGAGCAGGTTGCTTGTCCTGTGATTTTAGTTTGTTGTTACAGCTATGGGGGCCAGCTGTAAATTTCAAAAGGGTCCTCATGGTAAAGTACTGTCATGCCACCGCATCTTGCCATCGCCTCGGCATCACTGCCTTATCCTGGATCTTGCGTTTGTTACACAGTCTACACATGCATGTATGTATGTTGAACTTCTTTCGCACCATACGGGACATCCAAGGTCTGCTTTTACAGTCTCATCATCGCCGCCACCACCACCACCTTTTAGGGTTTTTTTTTATCTTGGCTGCCGACTTCTCCGTGCCACGCCAATTCCTGTCTCGGTAATCTGCCCTCCGTCCTGCATATGTCGCCGGCCCATCGCAACCTCCTCTGCCTGTTTGACCACGGTGGGCCATAAGAGAAATGGGTACGACTTTGGGTGGCAGCAAGTTTATTTCACTGATCTCTGTTTATGAGGCCAAAACAAGTTAATGATATTACAACTCATTTTGAAAATGTTATCACGTAAATCACTTCGAATGGCCTTGTAAGAAATTGGTACTATCACATTTTAGCAAAATTAATGTTATATCCGTAGAGGGCTTTCACTGACGACGCTTAACATAGTTTGACAGAATAGAAAGATTTAGGTGGCAGGGCAGTGCAAGGGTTGAAGAATGAGTGACCACGATAGGAGGGTTCTTAGGGATCACCATAGGGTAGGGGAGGGATGGCAAGGAGTGGATGGGCGAGGGGAGGGAAGACTAAGAAAATGGGCAATAGAGAAGCAGACACTTGAAAAACCATCTGTGCCCTTGGACGAATTATGCCTACAACCCTTTTGCCTCATTCTCCTATGAACTTCCAAGTTGCTTACCCTATCATATCACGTTCGTTTCCTAGCATCATCATCGCTCATCCATGTGTGTCTCCTGAGCTCTCTCATGTTTCTCTAGCTCCCTTACTTCCCGTGTCTCCGTCATGCCGAGTGAAGAAGATGGGTACACATGTAAAGCTAAATTCTTGTAAAAACAAAACGGCGTGTTTGAGGGATATGGTTTGGGAAATGTTGCTGTAACCTTAATCCCCAGAACTATGGAGGGGCACCAGTTAGCTATGCCAACAGCACTTGAACACATACACTGCACTATTACTCGTTGACTCAAAACTGGCAGGGTGGCGTGGTAGTTCGGTGCTTTGACTCTATCTGAAATCCATTATTTGAAATCCTGGTTGGGGTCAACTCGGGCCAAGCATCTCTCTAGAATTGATAACATGAGTACCACATTTGTGTAAATGTAATGATGGCTGACCTAGGACGAGACTGGCACCTGCCGCCATGGGAATGGGGAATTTCCCTCACTGGCTGTCAGGGTCACACATGGAGATGAGTACCAACCACATCTTTGACGCCTTCAAGAGTGCTGTTTGTTGCTGGACATTTGCTCATTTGGCCTGTGCTCAGCCACCATTTTTTTATTCTAGTTTTTACACACATTTGTGGCTACCACGGAGTCCATAAAAGTGTCCTTTGTCAGAATTAGGGCCATTGCCTTAGAGTGTCACCTATTCCCTTTTAGGCAGTCTAATTGACACACGTGTTGAGCACGTAACAAGAACAGTTAAAACGTATTTGAGATGTTGCCACATATCTGGGACTCTGATAAATGCCCGCCATGACTTAATCAATGCCATGGCGGGCATACAGTTTTAGAGGGATGAAACCCATGTGATACATTCTTCATACATCTGTGCATAGCTTTATAGACTTACCTTAAAATGCCGGCTGATTATAATTTATTCACCATGGGTGGTACCTTTATAGACACGGGTCTATATCAAATTAAACATATATGATAGCTTTCAGCTCGGTTATTGTTCGTGAATTTGAAGCCATCACTCTGAAATTGGTTAAATATTTAGGAGCTCACTTTGCAAGACCAGGAAGATCTGGTTAAGTAATGAGACCAGCAGAGTATTTTGAGCCACCCAACCAAAGTTTGTTTAAAGAACCACATCCTACTAGGAAAACTTCAATACAGGAACAGAAATCCACGATTAATTAAACAGTTTGGCATGCTACTACAGGTTGGTATATTAGGTGGTCGTATGTACAGCGATATGTTAAAATAAACGGAAGCCATTTGGTCATAACACATTCAGAACCCTGAAGTTTATGCACCTCATTGTCGTTCATTTTATTCGTGCAACAAAATTAGGCCGCGATCAGCACATGGGGTGAGCATTGTAAGAAACTTGACGCGGAAGTGCTACTTGTAATTTGGCCAGATTGAATTACTTGCTGTCAGTGGTGGTAACAACGCGTTGCCATGTATGTGGCTTCACGAGATGGCTTCTGGAATGTAATAAAAGGATATGGACCGTCTTAGCGCGTTATTGCTGCCGATTCTGATTAATGAAATGCCAAGCACAAGGCACAGGTCAATTGAAGTTTGTACTTGTTTGATCGGGTAACCCGAGTTAAACTTTTCTTAATTTCCAATTACAATTTTTCAATAGGATTCATGTCATTACAACTCGTAGTTTGATAGTTGTCATAGCTGCTAAGCTATCACTGGGCCGCTTCAAATGTTCCACCATTTAACTACGAACAAACATTTTATATTTTACCAGGTAAGGCCCACTGAGCAATTTTTTTCCCGAAGCGACCTGGCCACAAATAATAGCCCAATGAGAAGTGGCTTATGTGGAAATGTATAGCAGCCAAAATACTCTAAGCGCATGTTTCTAAATATGGAGCGAAAACCGGAGGACCCGGATGAAAATCCACACGACCACTGGGAGAACATGCACAACCCAAATTATACATGCGTCAGGATCGGGATGGAACCCACGACCCCCTGTATACCGGTGAGGTCGTTGACATCTCACCACCGCGGTACCCCTAGCAAAGCAACCTGGATAGGCATCGTTGAGTATGATGAGCTGTGAGCATGCGTGGGTGTCCCCTTGGGCGACGAGAGCCACGCACTTTCGGGGTTCCATATACGAATGGGACGCTCCCACGCAGGGCGAGGGGAGCCGCAACTTCCGCTTGAAGACGAGCTACTTGGCCGAATAGGCGCAGACGGCGGTGTCGGATGAGGCCACTCCATTTTGGGGAGACCAGCGCGGGACGTCACGGTGACATTTTTGTGAATTCAAACCAGCCGACGCAAAACTAACTTCAACGTCCACCCGATCTTAGGGCATGTGGCGTTGCATCATCACCAACTTAGTTTCACCGACTCAGAAACCATTGCAAAGGTAACCGGGGTATGATGTGAATAAGTGTCGGCATCTTGTCATGTCCGTATACTAAAATAAGTGTTGACGATGCTCTTATCCCATTGGCTGTCGAGCTTTCGGTGAAAGAAAACAATCCACGTTCTTATGGTGGTAGCCACTTCCTCTCCAGCACAATCACTCCTGATTTATGTCTCACCAGGCGGGGCTCATCCAATTGAACATGGGCAGACACTAGCGTCTCGACAATCCAATGCGGGGATTTCAACAACTGGCTCAGTATATACAACAGCCATGGGCAGGACAATTAGTTGAAGAGGCCACAGCCTGGGCATGAGTCGTCATTCACTCGATCAGTTGGTCTCGGAGAAGACCCATTGAGCAAATTTTTGAACCCTGATTGGTGGTTCACAGCTCTGCTGCTATGATACCAACTGAGATGTATTGTGGCCAGTGGCATTTCAGTCTTGTAATATTTGAATGTCGGGAAGCATTTTTTTCTCAATTACCGTACTCTGTGAATTATAAGACACACTCGTTTCCCTGTATTTAAAAGTAGATATTGGGGGTCCCATCTTATAATCTGGTCGGTGGCCATGTTCATTGGCACCGAACACATTTAGGGTGCGTATTAATTTCCCCCCAGTACATCTTATAAATACAGAATCCGTCGTAATTTTACGTTCAATTATATCCTTGCTGCGGAGCTACGTCGAGGGCAGATCAGCAATTTCCAAAGTTGTACCGTACGTCCACGCTCTTACCATGTGTGCTTTCTGCCTTCCACCCCACACCCACTATCATGGTGAGGTGTGGGTCAAATAATAACCTACGTGACCCGTTTGGCGTGGGGTTTAAAAAATTAACCCGTAAAAACAAAGTTCTTCACTATAAATCCTTTATATGCGTGACGGCTAGAGTCCTCTCGTCCTCTGGCTTGAGATGGCTGCCACCTATGGGTCAGATGATTGCCTGCCACCATTAAGCAATTGGTAATTAAATATAAAAAAAAATCCTAAAAAGTGTAAAAATGTGGAAAAAAAATTCACGAAAATTAATTGTCACGCACAACGAGTCTGTGTACAAAATGTCAGCTCGATTTGATCACGGGAAGTGGGTTAAAAAATGACCGAAAGATTTGCACGGTCGTAAGCGTGCAAGCAAGCAAGCAAGTGAACTTAATATAAAAGGTTTAAAAAGGGTTGTAAATGCATCCGCACAGTCCAATTTTTTTCCCCGCTGGGCAGTGCTGCGATTCGAATGCTTGACTGACAATCAGGTTATAATTTCACAACTTGGTTGCAGTTTGAATGTGGTGGATTGCCAGCGGGGGTGCGAGAGCTGAATTTTAATAAGGAGAAACTTTTCCTAAACAATCTTAAATGAAACTAGACCAATTACGTTTGAAGTTTTAAACAGTATGGGTTTCGCCCTTAGAATCAAGCGCTCGTGTTTTATGCTCTAGTTTATCATTTGACTGTCACGTTCTCTGTGTGTGTGATACGTGCCAGCAAGATGCATAGTTTGTCCTCTTGCCGTTTAACCTTCCACAAATTGGTGTCAATTTCGCTCTCGCAATACAAACGGCTGTAACAGAACAGGGCGAAGCGAGCCTGAATTATTGATGCGCCATTACTTTAACCATATTTTAAAGCGCTGACCTTTTTTCGTCGATAAATTATTTCTCATCGGATGCTATTTGAAACAAGGAAATGTTGACCGGTTTTTGCAAATTTGTGTTAATTTTCAGTACCCGCACACAAAACCGCCGTTGCTCATTTCCACCAGCTGTTGTCTATTCTGAGTTATAGCTTCGCCAAGAAACGTGGTTTAAAACCTACTTGGCCTTTATCAACGCTTTAAAGTGAAACGCTGCCGCATATTCTTAAGACTTTTGGAAAAACGTTGCAGGCTAAATTGTTGTTCTAAATGTGTAGCCTACTTGAAACCTTGCATTAATACGTAATACTGTGTTCTGGTTTTACTTTTAATCGTGAATATTAGTGTGTTGGTTCTTTTTTAATCCTTACACATGCCCTTGATAATGCAGTGATATATGCATTAAATGCTACTCTCACGTGTTGAAAGCTTTATTGATTCTGTAAAAAAACTAAATATCGCTAAGATATTATTGAAAGGTATTGTGAGGTATTTCCACCGTGCCGTCTGGCCGTATATTATTTTGAAGAAGAAAAAACAAGATCCAACGACAGGGCACTATTAGCTTTTAAACATTGTTCAAGTTAAACATGCCTTAAACAGAGTGGAATATTTACTTATACCGGAGATGGCATGCTCAATTGAGCACCGGATTGCACCAAATCTCCGTTGCTGAACTTGAACCCGTGAAGGTGGAGTCCACGTTTATATAGTAATCTTTGAGCGTTCCACTTTTGACTTCCCATCACCCTCACTAGGTGGTACCCAATCTAGATTTGAAGTTTTCGTGACTGCAGGGATCCATACTCTTTGGTTTATTCGGTAAAGTCACGTCGTATAAAAGAAATTTTATTTTATAAAATAAATTAAAATTCTTTTATTTTATAAAATAAACGTTATTTATTTTATAAACTTTATTTATTTTATAAAATAAATGTAATTTATTTTATACTACGTGACTTTACCGAAAGAACCAAAGAATATAGGTGGTACCCATTTTACCAACCCTGGATAGATGATGACGGAAATGCATGATCAAGACTGTGGGCATATGTTAGCCTAACTAGGATCTGAACCCAATACCTTATGACTTGGGCCCCTCGCTAATTTACCAATATTGCTGCCCCCTAAACACCGTGCAAACATTTACACCATGACACCGCCATCACAACGTGTCTTCGTCTAGACTGGCACTTTAATAGAGTGCACTTAAATTCCAATGATGTCAGCTGTTCTCATTAGCATGACATGAGTCTGAACTGCATGCGGCATTTGGGTTACCGTGAACTTGTCAGCTGATTTCCTCCCTTTCGGTACATTTAGTTCTCAATTGAAACAGTTTGATGTGGAATCTAAATGAGCTGTTAAGACCCCCCCCCCCCGGGTCTCAATAACTGCCTATTTCGTGGCAGTAAAGATTCTGTCACTTGCTTGTCCATCTTACGGATCCCTCCGTCATCTCCCATGCCGTATCCGCTGCCAGCTACGTGCCGTCTACCATAGCAATCAGTGTCTTCACGTCGAAACTCCCAGTCAAGCACTGTGCAATGGGAGGTCGCTCCTTCTCCACTGCTGCCCCTGTTAGATCGTCATTTTCTTCCCCTGGCTGTTTACGCGTTTCGTTTACTTTCCCTGTTAAAGTTCTGCATGAATGATTTGTGTTTCTCTCTTCGATGGCTGTCTCCTCTCTGTGACTGTCTTCATACTCGCCTGCACCATACAATTGTTTCCAATCCCCCTTTGTCATGTGGTCGCTAAACCTCTCCAAATATAACTTCTGTATATAAAAAAAAGCATCTTCCAAAGCTCGTACTATGGACACGTTCTCTTATTTTGGACAGGTCTTCACGTGGATTCAGAGGTAAATTAATCTTTAGAAATCCAAAGGGTGTACTGTAGGCTCTGCCACACGGAGCTTAAATAAGGCAAGGGAAGAGTTCCCACTCTATTGACAGCTTAATGTTCTGCTCTATGTAATATTTATTCACTGCTGTGCTACACAAGCTCTCGGGGCCATATCTGAAGCGTGGTGTTTCTATAGAACGATTCGAGCATCTGCTTTTGCACACGTAAGAACCTCCATGGACTTACCTACCCCCTCTCGTCTCACAGCTCTTCTCCACATGCTCTCCAATCCACAACCAAGGCCTGATGTAGAAACCCACAGCCAACCAATGCTTAATGAGAGGTCAGTCCATTCATGTGTTTGCCTCTCTTCTGTTATCTGATAGCTGCCCATTGTTTTGGTAACAGCTGTTCTCAATTTCCCAGCGCTCATGACCTCATATTCTCAAGGTATGGCCTATGCGGCATCCAATTCGCATGCAAATCGGGTAAAGATTGACAGGTGAACTAATGTGTCCCGTCATGTGTCTGTTGATTGAAAGGCATCGAAACCTGAGCCTACGTTGTGGAATGTGAGAACTGCTACCATAGCATATTCCATAATTGAAGCATTGACATTGTCTTCAATGCAACGAT